ACAGCTACGTGAAAATACGAAACTCCCAGTGTTGAGAGTTCAGTGGCACTTTCCATTCTTGCCGCTCAGTTGGTTGCAAAAATCTCTCTTGGAAATTTACTTGGACAGTTCTGGTTACTTGCGGAGAGGACATGCTGGGCGAGTATATGTATACAAGCCGTCAATGGAGCTAGATGATACTAAGTAGGAACTACGCAAATGCTGAAGCGTTACGTGCGCAGGCCGTCGTTACATCCTCCGTTCGTAAGAATTATGAAAGGACACGCCGCTAAAAGTGCCACAATTAACTACAAAGGGAAAAAACTGATGCCACTTTAGTAATACCATATCATGTTTTCCAATTTAGTGGAACTTCCATAGAAATTGCTACATTGCTATATGAGTGAACAATATTGGATTCACCCGTTCTGGCGCCGACCGAAAGTCCACAAAGCCAAACGATGGGCCTGCACTCGTAGCTTGTTTGTGCATAGCTGTGAAATAATTGAAACTACAGATTGCAACCTCATAGTAATATCGACCAATAATATTCTCTGTTTTTCGCTGGTGCCGAGCGAATATCTGATCTCTTCCTTCAATGGTGATAGAATCATTCTTCAAGAAGCTGCTGATGCGAATTGAAGTACTTCGTGGTCGAGTCTGATCATTAATTTCGCATGTGTACGTATGGCTATGCGGCCACCGGTCATTCATGAGTATTAAGACTATCGCTCTCTTGCAACAACGTCCATGGAAATCTATCACTGTAGCAGGTGTTTTTGAGGAGGAGCCTTCATTGTCGGCGACGCCTTATTTTTTAGCTATTTATGTGAGTGACGATTTGGCCTCGAGTGCTTTTCCGTCGTTGTTATGCATCTTCAGTGGAGTTCTTCGTAGTAAAATCCGCGTACTCCATGGCGTTCGATTGGAAGCCCTTTTGAAGACGGTATGAAATCATAATACAACCAATCAAGGTTGCAGCATACGGAAGGATGCATACAAGAAACTTATGCAAGCCTGCTAAACCCATCGTATAATACTACATGATAGAGATTGAGGTATTTTTTTGCATTATGATAACATAAATATTGACACGTAGATATATAATGCCAACGAAAGTCTATTTATCTGCCAAGTTAAGAAAGCTACAAATTTTCAATTTTCAGTTAGTATTAAAACAATAGCTTACATTGGGAAAAACCATACTTACTTAACATAGGCTGAGTAACTTACTTCTCACGTGTGTCAAAAGTATGACTATACGATACCGGCGAATCAAAAATCTTTGACGGAACTCAGCCTGGAAAAGCGCACCTATTTAATGATGATATTACAACATTCTACCCTTAATCGGCTGTATCATAAAGCTAACGTGACCATGACGATCCAAAATGACCAAAGTAAAGTCTAAGCACCATTAACAGCTACTAGTGGCAGCCGGTTAGCAGACATGCTTTATGGATTCTTTACATTCATCGTTTTCACTATCGTCTTCACCGGGATGGTCCTCTAAAGTAGTTTAGTTGGTGTTACGTCCCACAAGCTTCCGTCCGGCGCCCTCATAGAGCGCCTCAGTGGTCTCCGATGCTAGCTAATCTGGTCGCAGTGTAGACCTGTAGGGATGCTCAGTAATACGGGTGATGTCATAACCCGGGTGTAGCTGGGGTTTCGAAGTTGCAGAGTTACGAAAACTGGAGTAGGAGCGGAGCGCTGATATTGGCTAAAAAGAAAGCAGGCAAAACTGCCGACGGCAGGGACACCTTGACATCCCGTTGGTGAACGGAAATTGGCCGACATCTGTAAGACGATCAGGAGGCGACAAACGACACAGAAGAGGGATGGCTTACTAGCGGGTCTGTTGGATCTGCTGGTTGAGGTTTTGGCTAAGGAGTCGAGGGGTTGGTTGTAACTCAGCACTTTTCACTGCCTGTCATTGCGGAGCGATCGTCCATAGAAGACAACATTGCAATATGGACATGATGCAAAAGATCAGAGAGCCTCCTAGAGAGATATATGCTCTCGCATCTAGAACTACACAGCTGTTAAGAAGTGATAAAAATGAAACAAGGAATATTTAACTCGCTATTCCTGCTCTTGATGCTCGTATTTCTGTATAGAATATTATTACATTTATAATAATAAATTGTATCAACAATATTTGACAACATGACGTGGTTTGTGAGGCATCAGAGTCTTAAATTGGACTCTTGTTTAGCCAATAATTTCCATAAGTCGTGAGGACCAATAACAAACTATATAACATAAGGCAAATAGCGAAAACAGTGAAACTCATTGGCCTTAATAATGTAGGTAAGCATAAAGAGCTTTTTTTTAGTAGTTAGTTAACAAAAATAGCCCCCCACAATTTACTTTGTAACATAAAAACACGGATTATTTTTCGAGATAGCATCAGTCTGGTTTCGATGAGACTTTGATAGCTACTAGCTTTTACTAGATCATTAGTAAAAACAAATACAGACTCAGAAGTAACATGCATTTGAACGGAAGTAAAGCTAGTGTATTTGTTTATTTTTGACTTAATATGATGCTTTTGCATCTCATGGCCGTTACAAACGTCCCGTAGGCTTCTAGAGTTCGGAAATATTTCCGGGAGTCTCACAGATCTCGGACAGGCCATTGTAGAGGAGAAAGAAAAAGATTTCATAAGGAAAACAAGAGGTAGATCAGGTCTGTTCTCACAATTGGGCTCCGAAGCTTGATTACTGGGAAGAAGCTTGCAATAAACCCGTATAAAATCTTTCAAAGGCAGCAATTTTGATTAGATCGATTGACATATGTGCAGATGATACAAAAGCGAATGAGGGTTGTTTTTGACACAGTAGCATGCACAAACGCTTATGGGTTTAAGACCATAGGGTTAATAGAAAATTCATGTTTATAGAAGCTTAATGGCAGTTGTTTTGAGAGAAGTATTACAAACACTACCGAGAGACACATATTTATGAGTGGATCCTATAGGATAAATTAATTGTACTAAATGTACCTTAAGCAACGCTTGAATGACGAACACCTGTGTTTCTCCACAAACTGTTTCGATGTACACTCATCCGTAAATACATTAGCCAGTAGACTACAATCTCATTCTGACTTAGACACGCATTTGTTTAGAAAATACTAACTAACCTCACCTTTACGCTCAGCAGGAGAAGAACATTAAGCCCCAATATCTCTTCAAGCTTATTCCAACTCTGAGCACGTCGTTGGATCCATTGCCGCTTTTTTACGTAACACTTGCTTTCTGCAGCGCTCTGCCTACCTCAACATTGAGCATGCATGAATGACGCTATGCTATATACCATAGAGGTAAGCCTATAAAATCCATTTGCTATCTACCAATACGATTGCGCACGTCTGCATATACCCAAGGACCCACCGATTTTTTTAGATCCTAGCGAACAAGTCCCGTCGCTGTTCGTCTGTCCGAGAAAGTTGCTCAGACTACCTCTGCAGTTCGATGCTCACTCTCTAGTCCGTCGGCTCTTTTTTCCATTGTCTTTATTACTCTTGGCGATGATAAGATGGTTCAAAGTGTACCCCGTTTCCTCAGTCCTCTGAGCGGGTTCGTGGCGGACCGACCGACCGACACATGTATCCACCGACTGGTAGGAGCCACCGCGTTTGTGCGCTCACGGCCAACGTCTGTATTCTCATTTGTCACGTACGCGTGCTTCCACTCACAAATTCATTTTATCCATCGATGGCTGAAAAGACCAGCTGCGACAAAAAGGGCTTTAGCTTTGATCCATGGACCGCAGGTGTATGCGAAAGCCCGGACGCTCGCTTGGCTGACTTGACCAAAGTTAGTGCAAGATGTCCTTAAGTCGTAAGAAAAATTCAAAAGTAATATATGTACTATGTTTAAAGCAGTAAGCAAGATTGCAATAGATTCGGTGTCAGCCACAGCTAGGAGCAAATTATCTTTTGAATCTTAAAAAATGTGAGCAAATGGAAGGTTTGTGAGGATAATAAAGTAAAAAATTCGGAAAATAGATATTAAACAATTCGTCAGACTGTATCCACAGCCTAAGATATAGACGGGGTTCTTACAGGGTATACTTTAACGAGCTAATTATCTTAGCAAGCATGTGCTTACCCGCTACTCTTGTCATTAGAGAAAAACCAGTTCTTTCTTCATGTTTCGAGTTTCCGGTCCGACTATCCATGAGACGGTTGGTGCCCAACGCGAAACATTTGGGCAGTTCTCTTTAGAACAACAGGCCCGTCATAGCGAAAAACAGTATACAGTTTTTAGAATTTGGGCCATGATTAACTATTATCCAACCTTTTAGTTGGGTCAAGCGTCAACGGGGCTTTCTTCTTTGCCCGAAAGCAATACTAGTTTTCGTTCCGCTTCTGGAAAATAACTCCATGAGGTAACCTGGGAAATCCTCAATAGGCTGCAGATCTAAAGCGCTGAAAAATAGATCAAAAGGGCTCAAAAAGCCATTTTTTATATACCTGGATTATTCAAGGAAAACTTAACGGCTGTTTAGTATGATTCACCTAGTTGGTCGTTCATCAAGCTCTAACGGTTGGCCTTTTTGACACTTTGGTCTCTTCTAGCATTTTTTAAAATTGAATAGTTTCGTCCCTCCATTTTTGAAAGCTTTAGCACGTCATCAGCCCAAAATTAATTTCCGCTATAATTTTTTATAGTGTGCTGAAGTGACACTTTAGGAAGTTCACACCTCCAATATTGCTTGGCGTACGATTAGCATTGTGGATTAAAAGGGAAACATTTCGAGAATAACGAAGGAGTCGCTTAGGTGAAAGCTAGCGTGACTATAGTAAACAACCAGGACCGCTAGCAACGTAGCGGAAGCAAACGATTTACTTGAAGTATCTGATACAGTTTTAGAAAGAAAGAAAGAAAACTTACTCGTGTGTATATATATATATATATATATATATATATATATATATATATATAACTTGAAATAGAATCTGTTAGTAGCGCATATTATAAACTACTGGAGTTCGTTGTCTCTATATTGAAACAGGTGCGCCATCATCATTAGACATACCTGGACAGAAGTCCACGGTGTATGTCGGAGGCCTCGGGGGCTACGCAGGTCCTCTGTCAACGGGAAGGCCACCCAGTTTTCGTGGATGTATCGAGTCACTTTACTATAACAACGTTAATGTCTTCCATAGAGCCTTAACAAATAATAAAAAATCAGGTGAGTCCAGAGCCCAATTCGATATTACTATAACTGTTGATAATTTTTCTGGGGCTGCACAAAGCGATTAGATATCATTTTAATTATTAATTAAAATATGTTGCGTATTTGTGCGAGGGGCGCACCATGGATACTGAAGAAAAAAGGTTCACATGTTATCGAACATACAAAACCTAAAATAGTAGACAGTGCGCCGAGTAATTAGAGGTGGTCATTGGGGGTGCGGGTGGACCACAAGTAATTTCGTGCCACATTGTGTTATACTAGCAATATCAACATAAATATCTAGCTAAAGTTACGGTATTCCCATAGAGGCAGATAATGTAATATAACTTAGCTGGAGACTCGTAAAGCTATTCCGTTGTTATTTCCCACAAAGGTCTATCACACAGTTAGCATGCGTATCATAATAATAATAATAAGTATATCTGAACTTTATTAAAACAGTTCGGTATAATTTGACAGAATGAATGTTACGGTCAGCATTCATTTTTGCGGGATACGCGATAGCATTCACGAACAGAGACCGTTGGCGCATCGCCATGAATTTTCCCAAAACATAAATTCTAGCTTTGACGCTGGTTTCATTAGTAAGAAATAACTTTTCAAGCTTCTACGGGTCTGTTTTTTCAACACTTATAAATGCTATGTATATGGATGCCGGACCAGCCGCCACCATGATTTCGACATATCTTTCTGTTTCTAACAGTTTGTGCCTGGAAAAAAAGATTAAAAATAGTTGACTTCTTGCTGGGATAGCGGAATATACTTGCCAGGGCCGTGGTGCTGCTGCGATCCGAACGCCAGCAGGACTGTCAATCTGAAAAAAACCAGTTGTGCTCCCCGATAGGATAAATGGTTTCGTATACAGAACATCCTCTAAATCCCTCGCGACGGTAGAAGGTCCATGGCTGGTGCCTCTGCCCTGCGGCCGATACGTTGCGATGTAGTATCATCGCAATTTTTGTTCTACCTTCGTAATCGCTGGATCGGTTCATTTGAAAATCACATGACCAACCGGCGTAGTAATGCGTCACGATCCGAAAGCGTAATGGTCCTGACCTCGACCGTATAGCCATGTGACTGTTGCCAGATCTCTTAAACCCTACGAATTTTCACCATATGCTTGTAGTATTTCTTTGCAATTGAACATAAGCGGTATAAATTACTTCTCAGAGTCGATTAGCCTTATGCTTATCGTTGTTTAAAAATACTAGGATGGATAATTTAGTTGTTCGTTTTTTATCTTGCATTCGCGTAGCTTTAATCTCATCTTCTCGCTGGTTGCATTACTTCGAGTTCAACATTAACATGGTGTTATTCGGCTATGTCCGCAATTTGTTAGGCTACTTGCTGTTAAGGTCTAGCGCACCTGGCGTCTGCGACGAGCCCTTCATGTCGCATAGACGTTATTGCAATCGCTCTTGTATTGGACATATTTGAGTAGCCAGTCTGATTTAGCGAGCTCCCGGCCGATTGAGATCTGCGGTGGCGCCTATAGCCTATATTTAAGGGTCAAGAAATTGGGAAATGGATTTACTTCTGCACTCTCGTGCGCTATACGCTATGCTTACGAGTGTATAAACTACCACTGCCCTGATTGGCCATAGCTTAGTTCGATGTGCCCTTGGATAACGACTTCCTTGTCGATTGCAGACTCCGCCTTAAATTGACCTCTCGGCTGAGCCTGACTAATGTATTTGCTTTGCCTTACGTTGCCATGGATCAGATCTTCAATAGCATACCTCCTGACCTACTGTATAGTGGCGCTATATAGTTTTTCAGTCCTTTAATATATTCTATGGATGGTTATCGTAAACATGGCACTAATGCGAAACGCACTATTAAAGCCGGCGTTGGCAGCCAGAGGCCTTTAACAGTGAGGAAAAGCCATGAAAGTAAACAATGAATATGTAAGTATGTACAATGAGCATGGAGCAAACCTATTTTCAGAAACAGAACATTGAAAACAGTTCTAGCAGTGATATCCGTTGCTGTTACAAACTCGTTGACTCGACAGAGTGAAGCTACTCAACTTCATTTCGAAGAAGTCGAGCGACGATCCCAAAGCCATTTTACCCAAAGTGGCACAGCGCAAGTGCCCAAGACCTATAATACAGGCATGTACATATAACTCAATTTTTCTTTATAGTCACAATGAATTCGCGAGAATATAACATTTGTTAGGATGAAACGCTTGCTTAGTGACCCGTATGCAATATTTGAAGCAACCAGGACTGTGGCCTCTCAGGGCATGAATGTGATGCTCGTAGCTTTGATTGGTACATTTTGTTACATAAATAAATACAGATAGGTTCATGTGTTGAATGTTTTCGTTGACTTAAATAATATCTGCTCGAATTGTCGTTATTATCTTAGATGGTGTCCTATACGAGGTGGAATTCGGTCATCGATGTCCTGTCCTCTTTGAGGCAACAAACTCGGATGCTATATCATTCACTGATGGACAGCAGTCCTTCGTCGCACTGCCAACAATTCCAGGTAATCGAATCAGCAAGTATTTAATTACCGACTATACTATATAATTATTCATGTTTTACCAAGGGCCTTTGTAAGTTTCCGACTATAGCATGTCGAATTTCTTCCTAAAATCAAATATCTTCAGTAGATAACCTCAATTGATTGGTGGACACTCAAGATAGATAGGCCAAAAAAACCTATCTGCGTAGTTACGTGACGAGTGTCACCTCAACTCTGCACAAAATCCCGTTGTCGATGCCGAAATTACGTCTATAGTACGGGCTTCAACTCAGTATGTTCGGCAGAAATCCCCATTATCTATGAATCACACCGGCATTTTCCAGCTCGATAAGTTCACCGACCTCCGGAAAATCAAACGGCAGAAGCTTCGTCTAAAACAACGCCACGTAGAAGAAACTGAGAACGTATTAAAGCAGCGAACAAAAAAAAAAGAGGCATTATCTTGCGCATTATTAGAACGATATACGCGGGTGCTGTGTATAAACGTCGAAAGGCGAAATACCACAGCTGACATTTATCAGTTTTTTTCGTCTCTCGTTCGTTTACTTTTCGTGCGGGCTATGGCCGGTGAGACTGTAGACGCGGCAGTAGATCGACAGATATGCCACGACAAACAACGGCATAGATCCAATCGATCGCAATCCAGCCGGCAAAATGGGCCACTGCAAGGCGGGGTCGAATTATATATTTCGTCCCTCAGCTCCACTGCCCACTATCCCTATACCCCATTAGTGCCTGCCCGCCACCATGTCAGATACATTGTAGGCTAGACTATCATATCCGTCTAGTCTGCTCCTAACAGCGTCCATTACGACTGTCGCAGCTAGAAGAGAGCAGGAGCCTAGGCCCACTGGTGAAGCGCTTGTAGTTTAAACATTACATAGCAACAGTATTATCCCATCACGCACTCTGTAGCATCGAGGATAGAGCAATGACCGTAGGCGGATACTATAGCGGCTCTATCACCGCTATGTTGACCAGCACTAAACAGCGCCCGTGATAAACGTTCAAGCCAAACTTCTATGGTACAACGAAGCCATTATATCAAGTGAGGACTATATAAAGTGCGAGTTGAACGCTCGAAGAGGCTAGAGAAAGCTTGAAAGATGCCCGACTCATTATATATATATATTAATGGGTCGGGTTTAAAAAAAGGGTACATAAAAGCAGCCATAATTGAATTTGGATGTGAAAATAGTCTTCTGGGCATGCGAGCCACAGGCACTACTACTTCTCATAGTTGCACGTTTGCAATGCTTCAGGTATTATGCACGTACTAGCCGTACTGGGTCACCTTGACTCGTTTTTTATTGCACTCATTTAGCCTTTTATTTCATCATTACTACTACTTGTGTATTCAGAAATGTTTATACGATACTTTTTTCGCCGCTGCTCATCTAATGTGATACGTGTAACATCTAAACGATCAATAGCAATAAAGCGTTATAAACTTTTCGGGATATTACCGAACCTGCCTCTTGATCTTTGGCTCGATAAGAACAAGGTGGTCACGCGCAACACAGATATGCCATTGCGAAACGATACAACGCTCGATAGAGAGCGGGTGCTGTTAAGCGAAGTGCGATCTCTCTCTATCGTTATATGTACACGTGTAGAGATGTTGAACAAATACATTTTATATTATGTAAATATTGAAGTTTAAACACACACAGAACACATTGGAGGTCGTTAATCCACGTTCTTCCATGTTCGTTCCATGTTGTATGTTTTTCCAGCGAACATGTAGGTTCACTATTATGACAGCCTGTAAACATTATGTATGTGCATGGTAGCAGCTTACTTGTATATGTTATGTAGGTGCGATTCGAACATCTTAATAATATCACGGTTCATACTGCTGTACATATTGTGCATACATATTCGTCTACGTATCCACGCGTTACACGTTTGTTTGGACAGCCAGTTTCTTTCAAAGCGACAAAATAATTTCTGCACTGTGTCCTTTATCGAGACGGCACTGGCCAAACAGCAGTGAGATGCAATTACCTGGTATTGTTTCCAACGCAGCCTCATAAGCCACACGTACGAAATACTAGATCCTAGCTATATAGCTCGCTCATAGGGGTAGTCTTGCACATCAGAGAAATGGTACGAAATATCTCCTTTTCTCCTGATTTTCCCACCCATTCCCGGTTGTAACGAATATAAAATAGTAAAGAACTGTGCGAAAGGCAGAAAGGAGCCATACTATTATATGTCTTTATGAATGCCACGGTGGTAACTGCTTTTCTGCTACTGTTTCTCGTGTAATTGCTATATCTACGACAGTTCTTTTGGCCATTTGCACGGCTGCGTTTCCTCTAGGGCTGTTGACGGCTCCATGAGCTCCTGGCGCTATCAACTCCTTGTGCCCCTCTTTGCGTTCATTTTGTGATACAACCGGGTGATGCGAACGGAGCACACCATTACTCAATGCCGTTTCCGTTTCAGTGAGGCCGTCCCATCCAAGCCAACCCAAGATGCACCAACGGCGTTCTTATGCCTAGTCCCCACGATTGGGTCCCTAAAAAAGCGCCCCTTTTTCCTTCTCCATCTTTACTATTGCAGCAAGTATCTACCTTTGCTATGAAATGGAGGCACCTCATTGCAACAGAACAACGAACACAGACTTCGCTGCTCCCTCTTCCTTTCGGTCGCGCCCTGTCTAGTTGCCCGACTCGATCGTCTACGTCCTGCGGAAGCTGTCTGCTCGGCCTCGATGTGTGTCTATTGGGTGTGTGAGAGCACAGCGGCGCTTTCACCGGTGCAAGTGGCAGCGGGAGCAACTGTAACTGCTACTGTTAAACTCAAGCGATGTCTTGCTCAAGTGCACAAGCCGTCAGCAGAGCTGGTTGTAGAAAGGCAAATCGCCAGTTCGAGCTCCGCGTTCGTTATCTAGCAATCCTCCATCAACAGTGGGGCATCTTTGTCGATCCGCAAGCCGGGTAGAGCCAAGCGAGCCATCAAGGCGCTGCGGTGCCTTTTACCGATCAAAGAAATAGCATCGGGAATAATCGGACTAGCGAAAGCGGTTGCTGCGAGTATGGGTGCGTGCCCGCTGGCACGAGGAACTCGCAACACAACGACGGGCGCATGCGACATAAAACGGCTTTCTCGGGCCGTACGCAATCTGGCCATATATTCCTGCGTTAGACGAGTGGACCGCATGACACCCAGCCAGTCAGGCGATATCCAAGAAAATGGGGGGAGAGTGGAGAGTGCGATGGAACGACAACGCGCATAGAAAGATTAGGACGAATTTTGAGTTCGACTCGAAATCGAGTGGAAATATGTATGGCCCAAGAAATGAGATGAAAGCTGGTTTCTTCGTCTATCCCGTATACTCCACATCGTTCCATCCGTCACGACCTGGACTGTGCTGAATTTAGTCAAGCGGCAGAAAGATCGTTTGCAGCCACGACGATTTCTGATGCTTGGGTTCGCTGTCCAAAATGCGTGCACAGGGGCGACCGACGGCGAGAACATTGCGTCAAAACAAAGTAACGTGTTTCTGCCGCCACAGAGAGACATGAATAGGCCCAAAGATCACACAGCAGAAAAATCGTTCATTTTTAGACGCACATGCATCCGTTAGTTTGTATCATAGACGATACTGGTAGCAAACACATTATAAACTCAGTGAACGCAAGAAACATAAACGTAGTAAAGCATTGTTCACAATCGATTACCGACAACTACATTTGCAAATCAGATAAGTTAGGGGATGCTTACAAACTTAATGGTCTTCCTTCTTGATGAGCTTATGCTAATGATCTATCCCTAATAGTTCATCTCAAACTACGCTCTATTAATATAGAATTTTATTTCTAGACACTGGTATCAAGTACGTTATGTAGAACACACAATCAGAATGTCAGCCATAGATAATCAGCAACTTAGTCCCAGCTGGTGCCTGCAATAGTAGCAACGACAACTTATCGATGACCTTATCTTATAGAAGACCGCACGAATTTGAAGAAACAGCTGTTGTCCATGACCGCATTTCATCTATAGTTTAAGTTGTGCTTACTTCAGATCTTTCGTAGACTTTTAACAGCAAATCATTAAAAAGCTGGGAAAGCTAGATATCAGCGCTGCAACTGAGCTTCACACAATTTTTCGTCTAGAAATCATAGTAATTCTATGGCGATGGAGGTTCTACAATAGTTTTGATGTTACCAGAAAAACATTAGAAAATAATCTATTAAAATAATGCATATTTAATAATGTTATTTTAAAATAAAGATATGTATTTAAGTTCTGGCTTAGAAATGTTCAAAACTTTTCAAGAATCCAGTAGTTTGCGTGATTGATACCGAATGTTGTCTCGTGGAGCCGTAATATTTTGATTTTTTTGGCTTTAACGTAATAAATATTCATATTAATTAAAGTATATGCGCTGAAGTGTAATACTTTGTGGACCTCTTAGAAACCAGCCAGTCGCACTTTCTTGCTGCGTTGTAACAAAAACGTTTTCGGTTAACTTAAGTCAATTAAAACGACTATTTAAGAATTGCATACCGGAAAAACTTTTTCCGTGTCCGCCATCATACCCAACGACCAATACTAGCTGACGCCGAGGAAAGCCGGCTAGTTGTTGAGCCGCGGCTCACTTTTATCTTATTTTGAAGACACCCTTGTAAACTTCCAACCTTATTGCCTTAACCTCCGGCTATCTCGCCAGAAGCTGTCTTCACATCAACGCCACCTTCTGCATTCGCGCGCTACACAAGTGTGTCTATTAGCGTCCTGCGACGCGCGACCGGCCTTAGAATACACCTACATTTTCCCGGGCGATAGCCGACACGTCGAACAAGAGTCCATTTCCATACCGTCATGCTCTCATGAACGCTCAACTTAACCGCCTTCTATTAACGACATTACCAACGAATGATCAATATCAAAATCATCACCGGAGCTGTATTGGCTTTGCCACACGCCCTTGCGCTGCCCTCGTGTGCGACCGCCTCCTCACCGTAACAGCAACGCGCTTCTGCGCTACCTTGCTACTCTGGTCGCTACCTTTCGTAACATTGGCCCTGAATTTGGTTCTGTTCCTAGACTCGCTCCTTTTTATCCTTGTCGTTGCGTTCCCTTGCCTCTCCCTTTTCCTTATTCTTTCTCTTCGAAACGCATTCTCATTCAATCCTGCTACCTCTGTTCGACGAGGTTGAGCGAATCGGAGTGACCAAAGTCTCTAGGGGAGCATTTTTTCGTAAGGAACTTTATTGGCACAAATCTTCCGTTGTGCCTCATCTTACCATCCTCTGACGTTTGCTTCGCCATGCTCCCTCTCGTCTTGCAAAGTAGAGCCAAACAAGTGCAACCGTTTGGGAGGTGGGAGCACCCACGATGCTTCATCGCTTTCTCTGTCGCGCGCTATATTGCTCCCACCGTAACGGGTTACTTGTCTTGCTTCGCTTGCTGAAGGTATCTTCGATCAGCCCGGAGCCCAAAGCTGGACCTTGAAAGCTATATCTCGCTGATAGCGATTTCAGGGTGAGTGGATCGCTTGCTTGGTTATCAAAGGCCCAGCCGAGCGTCAGACGCCCGACGCTGTGCCGCACTCCAAGAAAACAGGCAAGTGACAGACAACCACCCAAGCAGGGCGAATCTCCACCGCTTTTTCCTCAGGGACTAACCAGATTATCGTAGTGACGTGACGAGAATCAGCCGTAGTGCTGACTGCAAAATGGCAGCGGCGCAGCCAATGGACAAGGGGTGAGGCTTTTCTCTGTTTCGAGCAGCGCAGAGGCACGACGTCGATTCGATCCGTCCGAAGCCATACCACTATATACTTTTCACCACGAACGACTTACCCTATATCCAACTCAGTTGCCCTATTTTCCTCTAAACGTGGGGCCCCGGGGCAAGGACAGGAGTAGCAGACGAAGAACCGCTGCTGAAAGTTCTCGGCTTCGTGGCGACCGGAGCGAACTGCTTTATTCCTACTGGCGCTGTGTTCTGTAGCGAGATGTCGAGAGAAGTGACAAAGGTGTCAGAGGCCCACTTGGCAGCTACGTTCCCAAACCACGCACGATAGCAAGTCTTACCTTCACTATGAGCTAGCTATCATCTTTCTGTGCTAGTTCCGTCACAGGCCAGACCGCTGTTGCCTCTGTACCTCAATATCTCAGCGGAATGCACCTCTACCCACGACAACCGACAGAGGATAGCAGGGGCTATCTGGAAAACGGCCTGAGAAGGAGACTTGGGACAGAAACTAAAATAAAGCAAGAGAAAGACCGTACGCGTAGGAACAGAGCAGTAGGACGCCGGTGTCATCGTAGTACTATATGTAAGGCCGGCGTCCTTCTTGGGTCTCCACTCGCTTTCTTTCCTTTCATTTCCCTGAAACGCTGGCTGCTCGCGCCACTGCGCGCAAACAGAGCGGATGACGGACCCAGGCAAGAAATTAAATGGTTTCATCATGCCAATGCTGATCCAGCCTTTGCTGTCCACAATGTTCTTGCTAACGTTGGCTGTCTCTCGACTGCTTGTGTCTGGCCATGTCTTTCGCTATATGACCTGATGACGGGCATGCTGCAACTCCACCATCCAAACGTTTGGATGTGAATGTGTAAACAGGCTTTAGAAAATACGGCACGGACCTTACCGGTACTGGCAGCGATGGTCGACAGTGGAACTCTGAGAATGACGGGCATCGTAACACAACTTTTTAATTCTTGAATCCCTTATTTGCTCATTCGCTCGTTTCCCACGTCGCCCTTATCGTCTGCTCAGCCCGGTCCTAGCTGCACCTTTCCGACGGCCTAGTCTAACACCAGTACGCCTTCCGTTACCGCTAGCTGATCCGTGCTGCAGCACTTTTCTCTTTCGTCATTGTCGCTTGCTGCTGTTACGATTAGAAAGCAGTGGCCTTCTCTTGTTCTCCTTTTCGACGGCGGTTGAAGCAGGTCGCTACTACCGGTGAGTTTGTTCCGCCTCTCATTCAAACATAGGCTCAACCACCTGCCTGCGGCAGCTGATGGTACTGACCCGGTTACTTGTTCTGCCGCTTGGATGGACAGCAGGACTGGATTCTTAGCGGGCATACCTTAGCGGAGCCAAGCAACAGGAGGCTCTTACAATGGTGGAGCTGCAGCGAATCGTTGCGAAAGTTTCTTTTGCTTTGAGAAAATACCACACACAGGTCTGGCATCACATAGACGCACATCTCGCCTCGCCGCTGTTCTTGCAGCTTAAGGTGGCTGAAGCGGTAGAAGGAAGAGAGTTTGCAACAAAGGATCACATCACTACGACGATCGCCGAATAAAGGATGAACGCTGAGGTGGCTGAAATAGCAGTGAACTCAGTAACGGGTGTGAAAGGCTTCGCTAAACTGTACACCAGTGCCAGTGAAGGAACATAGGCTCACAGGCAGGCTAGCTGAAATGTACTCGAATTTCTAAGAGGAGCTATTCAGATTAGGTCGCTGCCACTCTTGTTTATAACACAAAAAAAAAGTGCATTGAAAACAGAGTAAGGCTACTAAATGGTGGTGACAAATTTACGTTAATTAAGTGTGCGATAAGTTGTACGTTCTGAATAACATTGTATTCGACGACTGAGTGAAGCAGCAGTGTCCACATGAGGATTTAAACCCGAACCATCCCGCGGATCTGCATGCGTGGATGATCGTGAACTTTGTCCCGACGAGATAAGTTGGAAGAAGTAAAAAAAAAAAGCGACAAATGCAAGTGTAACGCGTAACGAGAATTTTACTGACAGATATTCAGTTTTTATGGAATTTAACTTTTTATTGTCTCTTTATTTAACCACACCTGTCGTGTGGTTCTACATATTATACATAACATACGACATAGGCCTGTGAAGACATAAAAACAAGTAAAACTATTTGTGTACTTCATAGTATTTAATATAATTTATGCAGGTCAATTTTAATTAGTGAATGGGCTAATTGTTCTATTGACCGATATTAATTACTGTTAAGCCTACCAACTAGTACAGCTTAAATGCACACCATACTAATATTAACCATTATGGGACCGGTTGCTATGATTGGTGGTGCACTGCACCATATATATGTATGTAGTCTAGCGTGATCGCCCGCGATGACAACTGATTCTCTGATGATTCGTACCGGTATGGCTTTAGAATGAAGACAGTCTTTAGGTTTGAGAAGCATTTTTATATCGGTATAAATTATATACATATATGGGAGACGGATTATGCCGTGAATCGGATACAGATAACGTTCGGTTAGCGGCTATGTTGTTTACACGTAAATCATCTTCGAACCGCTCGTGGTTTGTTTATTTCGGAATATGGCTGCAGAAAACAATGATCTTCTCCACTGACTGAGTACCGACAATTAGTAATTGTGTGGTACGCATTTTTGTTCTCATTACTCAAGGTTATAACGTTCATTGTCCACTGTCTTAGACTCAATTAATCATAAGATTTAGGAAGACACAACTAACGGAAGTGACCATATTGGAAGGCCATACGTCTTCGTAAGAAATGGGTTGTTTTTCCTTAGTGTCAAACACTACCCAGACGACGCTTTTTTGGCCATGTGCTTCTGATTTGCGGTATTTAAAGCGATCAAGTTCAATGCCAACAGCTACAGCCTATTTGGCCATCATGATTTCAAAATCAGTCTACTGTTTTTGAAGCTTACAAGTGTTTAGCTAAGAAATAAGATGTAAACAGTATTCATCTTACGCCCATTCTCGTGTTTTACGTAAAGCTGTGCCTCGTCGTCACAGTCCTTCAACAACTCTGGTATCCTTGCACTTTCGATCGTCGTAGTACGTCCCCGTGTCCTACAATCGAATAGGAATCTGGTGGCCGATCTCCAGGATTCATGGTTCACAGGTTTGGTCCGGCGGCGACTTCATAGCTGTCACCACATGGTGAAAAACTAACCCATTAGCCGGAGATGGACGATATATCAGCAAGCGGCTGCGCCTTTTGTACCCCAACCACGTCTGGGTTAGCAGTCGGTTATTGTGTACTTTCTTGACCACAGTTATATATATATATATATCTAGTTTGCAATGCGCCTGGCTCGACTGAAGCCGTGGATTGATTACTATTACAGTTCTTTTTTGCCTATAATCATATCGGTTTTTGCAGGATGCTCTGGCGGCCTACAATTAAACCTGCAGTTCCAGACGAGTTCTCCGCAGGGCCTTCTCGCTTATCAGTCGGGTCGGAGGAGCGTGCTGGCTCTAGAGCTAGATGATGGGCGAGTGAATCTAATTTTTAAACGAAGCGGCGAGCTTAATACACTCACAAGCCCACAGCGTGTTTCAGACGCATATTGGCACAAGTTACAAATCGAAATGCACACCAACGGAAGCGTTATCTTTTACGTGGACACCAGTAAGATCACGTGGGATGGTAAGTAAGATCCTTATGTCTACTAGTCAAAATAATTACGATAATACAAAAAAAGCCGTTCTTTTTAGCTAAATACTTAGCTCACCGAAATAGATTCAGAATAACAACTATTACTAACTTAGCATTAGATTACGAGCTAAAACGATATGTAATATATAGATATTTATGGGCTGTCACGGGGTGAAACAAAATGGAGAAACTGGGAATTACTGAGGGTAGTGGAAACAGGCCCAGCGGCCAGGTTTGGGCTCCACGCTCGGTCTTCAACAAATAGGTTCGAATTTGGTGTGACAGTGCGTAAATAGTATTACTCAAATCCCGTAAAAAAAAACAAAAAATTGTACACCTTGGGGTTCAGTGCTTCCTTGAGGCGATAACTTTCGACAGCAAAGGCCTCTGCTTGGGTACCTTTGCATGCACAGTTATTATTGTATCAGCAATTATTACCGTTTATGAACAAATATTATACAGGTGCCGCAGCTCTCAACAGACTAGTAATTAACTATATTTATAAATGAAGCTATCTTTGTCGAGATCCATTAAGAAAAATACTTTCTTTCATTAAAAAAGAAGAATAGCAAACCCTCCAATACTTCACTATAATACATTTTCATTGTTGTCAAAAGAAAATAAACTATTATATAACACTATTGAAAAAATAGCAGTAAGTCGTTGATTGACATCACAACATAGTTTATTACCTTTAGCTAATAAATAAATTCAAAATTATATAATTCAGGTAGTTTGAGGTCGCATCGCCGTCTTATTATGGTGAAGATACGGCCTAGACGCACAAAGAAAGGTCCATGCGGCTTATAGTTATATGGTACGTTATTCGAAATATACGAAGAGAAACCGCACAGAAATACGTCTGTCGTTTTCGTTTTAATGTAAAAGATGCATCACTTAGTTAACCGGTCACGAAAAAAAGGTTTATAGAGGTAGTATGAAAATTAGGCACGATATCGCTAAGGACAGTTTCAAATCATTTGAAGTAGGCTAGCCACAAAAAGGAGGCGATATGTGAACTGAAGGAAGATAAGTACTCAACTGTATTTCTATCTGCGAAGTTCTCTAGCAATATTAACGTAATCGAACCGTTGCCATCGAAAAAATCGACCGGAATTAACAAAAAGAAATAGCGTCGTGTGACAGTGGCAGACGACATACCTTATGAGCAACGGGGCAAAAATGAAAAAAGCTTGGATGGCTAATTTCAATACATCCGTCGTACAGCCCGGACCTTGCACCATCGGACCATCATCTGTTTCGGTCTCTGCAGACCTGCCGTAATTCAGTGTAAATGGAGAGATGCAAAAATCATTTGTCTTAATTTTTCCACCAGAAACCGTAGTGATCGAAATATGGTGCTACCGGAAAGATAACAGATCATCAATTAAAATACCTAGTTCAGTAATAATAATAATAATAATAATAATATTGTTATTACTATTTTAACGTATAAAAGTATTTGCGTCGGGTAGTTCGGCTGGAAAATGGTTAAGACGTTTTTGACAAGTCAATGTTAAATGCGATCATTGACTTCGCTTTGTTATAATAGACATCGTGGGACTTCGTTGTGCCTTTTCCATTCAAATAGAAGAAAAACAATTCACAAAACGAAGTGTACGTATGAAGTGAAATGAAACGGAGCGTTCATTAAACTCCTCCTAATAAATATACGTCCGTGTATTTCTTAGCTGAAAAAGTCGTTGTAGCAGTTGATATGTGCCGCATATCGTGTGCCGCTGGTATGTCCAAGTTTTTTTTTTGTGTTATCTAACCATATTTTATTCCAAGGAAGTCGGAGAAGCGACGCTTATCTCCTCGAATTCAAAGAAAAACACCGTTTGTCTATACAATCGACTCTGCGTGTCGGTCTAATAATTATATAGCTTATTGCCCAGCGATTCATGTGCTCGTGTTCTGTAGCGAGCAATGCCCCTTCTGGCAAGTTGCCTGCTGGCCATCATAAAAACAAGTAGTTCCGTCCGGCTGATAAGCATACTGAAATTGACTTTTGTTGGGAACGTCGTATGCGCCGATGTCAGCACACAGAATCTGACAGGGCTTGACAATAAAGGCCCGAGTTTCAACCGTAGGGTTCGGAATAAGGGCTTGACAGGTAGTATTATCGGCGTCATTGGTTGATGGAAGGACACACCTACTGCCGACACACACGTATTCGTTGTTTGTGCCACCGCAACTTGCAACGGCATTCATTGCGATGTATCTGCAAGATAGAAACAGTATTTAGTTAAGCATACAGCGATGATGTTTTTTTTTCGGTTGTTAACTTACGTGTGGGCCGACGTTTTTTGAGATGTCTTTTTTTTTCGACACTCTCTTCTATTCTACCTTCTTGTCTACTCACGCTAGTCATGACCGAGTCAACTAGACATGCTACAATATGTTCCGAATAATATACTTTATTATGCTTTGCGAGCGTTCAGTCTAGGATTACACTGTACTGCGTTCACATTACTGCGACGTGGTAGTACTAACTATCTCTGTTAAAATGCACACTTAGTGGTTCAATGATGGCAGAGACCTGTGACGAATCTTGTTGTTTTGCTTTTCCTTTTTCATCGTTTTCTACATTGATGGGGCTATGCCAGTACCCAATCTCTTCGTAAATTGCTTATCCTTGCATTCGAATTTCTGCAAATGAAAACTATGCTTCCTTGCTTCCCTCTCCCTTGTTTTATGGGGACTGCCTTGGGTCGCACGTTGCTGTGATAATCATTATGTCGAGAACAAGGCGGAAAAAACTCAGCGAATTTATCTCGTTAACAGATCGGACCTGTTGTGATAGTCTGATAATTAGTATTCTATAGGCAATAATAATGTGCGAGTACAGACACTCACTAAGACTGTCAGCCACTCAGCGTAGACATCCGCTGTCGCATAGTTGGCATCAACACGGAGTTCTTTCTCATCAGTAGTCCCTTCTATTTTGCCTTCAGTCTGTTTACGCTAGCCAACCTTTGGTTAGCTGGACCTCCCTGCTCCCCGTGGCAAGGCTAGGGTAAATTTCTCTTCGGATCTGGCGCCTGTCCGACTAATAGTCCTAAATGCATCTTAGAGTAGCACAAAAATGGCCGTTTACCCCATTCACTCTGTACGATTGGCCTTACATAGCAGAGCTTCCGCGGTCGGACGGAATATCATTTTGAGGCATACCTTTGCTTCTTATGTTTCGCTCTCATTTGTTTCGAGTTCTTGTGTCCTTCATCGGTAGTGACCTATTTAGTCTGTCGAGCCGCAATGAGAAAAGCCCTTAGCTGGCGAGAGAAGTATATGACCGGATCGAGCCTCACCCTGCGAGGGAAGCTAATGCAGATAGCAAAAGTCACACTCACGGCAAGCTCAAGGCCGGCTCCTGCCTACGGTGGGCAGGTCAACAAGGTCAAGGCAGGGGTGTTGTTAATGCTAGTAAGGCATTATACTGAATTGTGTTGTATGGGAATGTACGACTTACGTAGCATCGTAGAGGCTCTTAACCCGTCCGTGCGCCACGGCCAGGTACCGATACTTGCAGAAGGCCACGCAGGGATGTTTGTAATTCGAATAGCCGATAACTGATATGGCATTTGGTAAGATTGTACGGCACTGCATGGTAGCGTTTCCGTTGGCTATAGCAGCACGAGCCTGCAAGATCGATTTAAGCAGCTTAGTTTAGCATTGATGGTAATAGTAGTAAAAATGGTGGTTATTGTTTTGTTTGGGCTGCACGCTGGATTCTCATTTTTACGAGGGAAGGAACCATGTTGTTTACAGATGATAGGTATAAGTACTGATGGGTTCATTCGTCACGTTGGTAAACTTTGGTAGGCTAGAGATATGCTTGGCTAAACTCCCAGGTAGTCAGGACTATAAATGAAGGCACGCCGACTCCCCACTAGACTCAGAAAGATTGAGCAATTTTCGGTTGAGATTACAATCGTTCAATTCCTGTCTGTGAATTTCCTTAGCTTTTCTTAGGAACAGCGTTTACAAGACTTCGATAGTTCAAGGTTTCAGCATAAAACTTTTTCAGAGATTTCGAAACGGGGCTAGCTTTTTAGGGACGACGAACGTCTTCTTGTATAGCTATAACATTCCACCACGAGTGATGGATAGAAGGACCAAAAACGCGTACGATTATGCGAGCCAACCCGACTTCAATGTGTGATAGAAGAATAACACATTATCCCTTAGCTGTTGGAAAACCTATAGTAAGGTAGCCATTGTATTTTTGTTCCGTAATGACGGAATGAATAATATTAATACGAAGAATTGTTTATATATTTGATGTTTTCTTCCTTAGAGCAGGAAGCCCGAAAGGCCAAGACAGCTCGACCAACTACTTAGATGTTATTGCATCCATGTCAGTGTCAAGAAAGTGTACAACTTATTCGAATTAAGCACGGTAGCCCCCGGCAGAACTGCCATCAATATCGCCAAGCCAAATTGAGATATGTCGTGTAGCAACTCTCTAGAGAATTGTACCATTTCGAATTTGTTCGCTCAATACCTAAATCAGTGACTAGCTAGAAAAGCCCTGTATTAGGCACGGGTTCGTACCGAAAGATCCTGGTCTTCGTCCTGATAGAGAATCTCTTGAAGAGCTCTGTCGAGCTCTTTATTTTCGGCCAAACTTTCGTCCTCCTCGTGGTCAATTTCGCCTTTGAAATCGATTTCTGCCTCCTCCTGTCGTTGACCGAAAAGGCGGGCGTTTATGACAACGTTTAGAACGCACGCCAATGCCATTGCAGCAATTAAGAATTTCATTATCCTACGATGAAAACGGCAAAATGCACAAATTACAATAGCGTCTCGCTATTAATCACTAGCTGATCTAATAACTAATCCGATCTGATCCGTTTTTGGACGAGTAACATGTTAAGTGTTAAAAAAAAAAACATGTTATTTTCTTCGCTTCCATCGACTAACGTCTTGTGTCCTAGATGTTTGTAGGACTTAGCGAACACTGACAATCTCAACTTTCACAACAAAGTTGTAATATCAAAGGATATACAGATGTAACGTTGTAGCAATATATTGTTTTGGAAAAAAATGTTTGTAGTTCAGCTTGCTTCCTGTCCGCTTATTGGTAGCCAGACCGAAGTATAGCAACCAGATTCAGCAACAGATAAAGAAACAGCAATCAAGTTACTGATGGTTACATCGATTAACTTCTTCTAATAAATAACTCTTAACAATAAAGACGTACATTTCATTTGATACTGATACACGTTTCCACAGTACAGAGCAATGAAAAACATTTATCTCAAGCTTCCCCTTAACATTTTCCTATTTAAGCCGCATCGACTATAAGGGTTTCTATTTAATACTTGTAACCCAGGCTGCACATTAGCTATTGTTGGCCCATTGACCGGCTCCGTCCAGATCACTAAATGTTCTTTCAGATCTACCACACATGATCGATGCTTGTTTTTTACAGCTGCGTCACGAACACAAACACGTATACATATAGGACTGCTGTTGTTTTGCGAAATAATGATTTACTAGTTATCAATGGCATTGACAAAAGCATGAGAACATAGATTATCGTTTATCAGCTGGCAGTGAAGTACTTTCTTGGACTGTTTTCAAAGAGAATCACCACCCACGCACACACACACACACACATGACACGATTTTCGAAGAGCTTAATTATATTTGGCAAGTAGGACATCGAAGAGCTTCATTGATAACACAGGTGATTCTGATAGCATTTATTTGTATAGCCTGAGAATAGGTCATATGAAACGGTAACGGTTGGCATTGACGGTTGCCTGTGAATACTGTCAGTGTTCGTTTTGCAGTAGATGAACCTGTACAGCTTAACAATGATTTGATCTAGCGGGCTTTCATCAGGTATTACTATATACATGAAGGTACTTACAGTGCACAGACGCTGAGCTCGTTGGACAAAACTTGGCTTGGACGAAGTAAATTTCTCAAGTTCCTGATGCGTCCTATGGTTAGAGTGCCAAACACAAGGTTAAAAAGTTCTGTATCAAAGTTAACGTCGAAGACTGTCGTCTTTCAAAGTGTGTAGCGTCTGGTGATAAGAGAAGTGTTGGCATGCGCCGTAGAGACGGATATATTTTCTGTTGTCATGTTAATGTACATATGACCTATGGGACGGGCTACTCCTAATTCGAGCTTTTAGAGATTTTGGAGAAACTGTACTATATTACACGTTGTTCTACGCTATTTTGTCGCTATTGTTTAATGGAATATACTTCGCCAGACCACATTGTCTATGGATACAAGCTTTAACGGAACTATCCAAAGTTGATTTCTGCCGCGCGTTGAACATGACAGACTTATACTGTGGTCTCGCTTCTTGCACACCCTCCGCTGTGTTGTTGTTACTAAATCGACCCGAGCAATTAATAAGCATTAAGCAATGCTTATTGTCTCTAAATATTTTCAGTTCAGCCTATCCAGTGCGATAAAAAATATCTCGAATACACGTAAATTTCTACGCACATGCTTGAGTTCATCGGTAGTGCAGAATGCTTCATCTAGTAAAATACTGCATAATTTCACCACTTACCTTATCAAAGGCTCGGTACAATGAGGAAAAGGTTGATTATCTTTTCACAGATCCTTGAATTGCACAACCTTAACCAGCGAAATCACACGAAGTGACTGACGGCAAAGAGTGCCTTGTCGCCGTGTTGATTGTAAATAAGCTATGCAGGGCTTGTCTTTATCGCGTGGTCCGGCACTCTTCAGGCCGGATCCTTCCATCTCCCCCGCTGACGACTTCCAGCTGTACGGGTTCCATCGCCACAAAAGCTAGTGGACGGTTCCTGTCAAGTGGCACAGATGTGGGTCAATTCAACGCGTAGTCTACGACGCCAGCCGACCAGGCAGTCTGTAAGCGGCTTTAGATTGCGAGACGGATCCGCAGTTCCAAAATAGTTTCCCTACTTTTCCTATCTCATCATTTCTATTGCTGCTGCCATGGTTCTACATCTACCCTGATCGCTAACGCTTTTTGTGTCGCCGTTCGTTTGGTGATCGGATTGCCTGCCGCCTTTACGGAACACAAACAGAAAACAGACGCCGCATGGTCAAGAACAGCGGGACGTGAAGCGTCTTGAGGGAGGGGGGAGGCGGCTAATAGAATTCTATAGTGTTTTCTTTGAATCAGAAACGAAAATAACGGTCACGTGTTCGATTAACGAGTTTCGTGATGCTAGGAAGGGCGTATTTCTTGCGGTTCTATTCAGAGCGATCAATCGACGAACTCGTTACATTCGTATTATCGATCCTAAATACGTGCCGCTATGCGCATAACAGGGAGAGTCGGAATTCGTTTGAAACAGCTGCTTAAAATATTAAGAAAACAAATTGTACTATTTCCGAGCTGAACTGTTTGACTCTACTGAACTACATCTGACTGTTTGAACTATACTGTTAGCCACAGGAACTTTTGCCACGCCTATTTAACGAAAACAACTTTCACCAATTTACATGATTCGATTTGTCCTGTATATTCTATGGCCTGAAACTACGCCATACGTACATATAAAAAAAAAAAAAAACGTAACAGTAAACCCATTTTCATTAAGTTATCAGAGAAATGAAGGAGCGAGAGCACTGTTTTAGATAGTTCAGTTGGTTGCTCGGGTGGACGCATCCAGCTGTCCACTGCAACGGTGGCTAAGTAGCATTGTATATCCTCATTTTGTGCTTCACTAAAGAGACTACGCTCGACAGAAAACAAAGGGGGCACGTTATACAGTATCATTTTGCCTCTAAGGTAAAGTACGTTCTAGTTACCATCGACAGGCGCACAACGCTGTCTGGTGCTGGGTAATGACAACGAAAAAAACATACCGCTAAATAGAATGAGAGGAGAGAAAGACGCAATACAGCAGCGGTCACACTTCGTCCACAAAACGAGTCAAGCCATCAGGTGGTCGTTGAAACTAAATGTTATCGGGCATACTTTTTTTTTCTGTCTACGACAATGCTACTCGATCGGCCCTACCTGCTCGACTTAGCCAAAGGACAATGTGACTAAAAAAACTGTTACAAACTATCTTGGAAAACTGGTTTTTCGACAACCTCGTACGTCTTCAACTAGATGCTTGCCCCGGTTGTGACTATTAAAATGTTTTTGGAAGTTTGATTGTTTTAGGATCCTATTAAGTAGACTGCGTAATATAATTATACGGTGTTCAGAGCACATTTTAAGCAACAATATGAAAATTCGTTATGCCTGAATAAGTGCTAAGTTTGAACATTTGTTCTGCTACGTTTATACTATTTCAAACGATTGAGTCCGTAAAGAAAATATCGTTTCTTTTTTTTAAATTGAGTCGATTTAAGGTAATCGGTACGTTTTTTACTCATCATTACTCAGTTGCTGAAAAACAATTATTTTTGTAGAACAACGTAATCTATGTTTAGTTGGCTTAGCGCGGCGTATCCTGGAAGCTTGCCTGGTGCTCAAAATATTAAAATAGAGGCTCTTTTTGCCAGATTCAGCCGAGAACTCTGTCAATTTGACTTTGGTTCAAATGAGAATGTCTAAGTGTTTGACCTTGAGCGCCCTTCGACAAACACACCGTCTTTAGCAGACAGCGAAATCTTTGCTAAGCGAAGGATTCCGGACCGAGCTGATGTTCCCCGGAGCACGAGCAGGCTCGTGGGACATCGCCACGCCATCTTGGTCACAATAACCAAGCAGAAAGGATATCTAACTTCGATTGAGATGTCTACTTTTCAACATAAACTGCCGATAGTCCTTTTTGTTCTAGCCCCGTTATTGCTATTATGCGCTATCAGGTACTCTTGAGTATCGGCTTAGTCGTTTCTTACATAACTATACCGATAATTCAACCCCTTTGACTGACGTTCGATATTCTCTGTTTGAGTATGAAAGCATCAAAGGGAAGACGGACGGACGGACGGACGGACGCACCAATGCTTGAGTGAAGTCAGTTGAATCGGACCCAAAAAGTCTGGGCAATGATTACCTCGTTCGGGACGAATATAATCGAACGCTGAAGCGATTGCTGCTCTGATGTAGCCAGAAAGACCTGCAGGGAAGGCGACGAAAAGACACTGAAAAGCTTCGACATACTATCGAATACGATAAACCTTCGCTATGGCTGTAAAGAAGACGCAGCAATCGAAACGGCGAAGCGTAGAGAGGTACGACGAACGACAGGCTGTTATTCTGAGTAAGCGAAAATCGCGTTTTATAGTAGGGGTCTTGCTTTCGATGCCCTGCCCTCAGTTATTATCTAGTTACTAAGGCAAAGGCCTAGACATCGACCAACGGCTAACCTTGCCGCCATTCAAAAGTTGAGTCGTTGATTTTCCCCGCCAGCTCCTAGGTTCCTATTCGTAATTAATGTCGATGGGTAGCCTAAACGTGGCTTAGCCCACAGACGACAGGTAATGAGTAACGGACTAGACTAAAGGCTGCATGTTTTAACTTTGTGTTGTTGTATAGTCACAAATAGAACCACTTATTTCGATTAGCTCTCCTGCGTCTCTGGAGCTAATCGTTACTTTATGAAAGGATAGGAGTGAAGAGAAAAGAACTGAAATGGTGCAAGCTATAGCCCGTTATCGGTACTGTTCGTTCAACCTCACCACGGCGTCTGTGAGGCGGGCGTCCGTTACATTGGAAAGCCAGGAGCAAGCAAACTGTTCTTTCTTCACAGCCAACGGCATGGAGCGGCAGTCACAACAGCGTGACTAGACCACTGGCATAGCAAACTCAGCAACAGCAGCTATCAACCAGCCTAGTGCCAAACAGAAGGCGTCGTTTTCATCCCAGTCCGATACTACAGTATCGACAGAAGTGACGTCTTTGTGGCAGTGAGCAGGCAGCTGAGCTACGCAGCCTCTGCTACTCATCGTCAGTCATCTTCTTGACACTTGCCTAGAGAGAGAGAGAGAGAGAGAGAGAGAGAGAGATGGGGGAAAGGGAAGCCGAAGTGCCTATACATAGATTTTGTAAACATTAGTACGAGCATTGCAAGTCGTTTTAGAACAGTATTAGTCAGAAGGGGGTAAAAAGCTTGACTTGGTAGGGTAGGACAGGGCAGGGTATGCTTGCTTAGGTAGGGATCAACTAGAGCAGGTCTAGGTCACCATCGAGCCCCAAGGCTATAAAATAGTACCTAGATGTATGAGGGCCGCAGAAGGGCAGACGGTAAGCTAGGCGTCGAGAGCGATTTAGGCTTAAACCACTCGTCGGTAGCCGAGGCATGATAGAGCCAAGCAGCGTAACCATGAATGTTCCCTCTCCGAACCCAGCGCTAGGACCCCGACATATGCTGTCATCCATGATGGTGGTTGGCTGTTAGTGGTTGCTGTCATCGCCTTCTCTCGTAGCTTATTTTTGCTGGCCCGCACGTTTTGCTGTAAGCGTCTTAACACTTGTCTCTTCCTCGGACTTTTACTCCTTCCCCTTTTTTTCCCGTTCATTCTGTTCCTCTAAACGTCCCCTGCTAGCGCTATCCGTCTTTTCCTATTTCCTCACGCTTACACGTATGCGTGATGTTCCATTCAGCACTCGACGAAGAAATGTCAGCAATGGCAGCGGCATGCCTCGACTGGAGCATATAGGTCTGGCCTGTAAGCCAGCCAGGGAGCCCACGTCATCTCCTGCCCTGAACAGCACTAAAGCGGCTGAGGAAGCTACCTCCTTTCAATAAAAACAGCCAGCAGATATTCCTTCAAAAGCATACGCCATAGCACCCACTAACTGATAGCTTCTCCCCTCTAGGGGCAGCAGCAGCAAAAGCAGCTCCAGTATGCCGTTGCACATTAAGGGTATCTCACGAAAACTAAAAGGGGTCTTCGTTAGTGCTGCAGCAAGACTTACAATGAGTGCCACCACTGCCTCTAACATGGTCCGTTTCCCAGCTGTCTGCATAGTAGCCTAGCACCATTATATTGCCATGCAGCAGCATTGCACATCCACGCGGCCAACTACGCATAAGGATGCGACACGAATACAGTAATGTTGGTGATGTCCGAAGTGTTTTTGCAGAAGCTTCAACCATGCCTGCGCCTTTTCTTTACTTAGTTTTGATGCTTCTTGCCTTTAGCCCCAACTAGCTCCTCACCAGTCGCTCTATTATTCCCCTCTAGCCAGCGGTCTGACGCGCACTCACCATGCTTTCTGCCGTTATCCAGCTGTATGCAAGCTCAACGTTGGCAAGCATTAACCGATATATCAAATAGTAATTATCACACCTCCTTGCTGGCAGTGCTAGCCATCTTTATCGCTGATATACACCGATCCTCTACAGCTGAGCATAGCACTTGCTCCGACACTCACCAGATTCCTTTCCCGCTGAACTCCAACAGATGCTCCCAGATGGCAGAAAGTAAGGGATCAGTGAGAGGCAGATAAATAAAAATATAGAGCCACGCACTTACTTGCACGCTGCAGCTTGACTTACAGGGGGTAAGAACAGGGAAGCTTCTCCCTGCTAGTGCTGTTTCTTTGTGGGGCGTCAGCGCTTCGGTAAGAGGCAGCTGGTGACAGTTATGGTTCTTTTGCCCTAGACGCGAATAGAACTCGTACCATTTTGCCCACAACCACTACCACATACAGACACAGCAACGAATGCTAATGGCACTAAGGATTCTGTTTCGCTATCATCACTGCTTTGCGGCAGTGCTCGAATGAAACGGAGACCTCGTATACATGAACAGGCTGAGACGAATCTGCGCATTTAATGACGAAACACCTATACAAGGCTAATGTAGCCGGAATTGAAAAATCCTTAGGTCTGTGTAACTTCCCTTGACAAGGCCCGGGTTACCGGCCGGATGGCGACTTCCGACGTATTACAAATGGATTCATTGATGTACGTATGTGAGAGACTGCATCTAAACTGTGTAGTCTAAACAAGGGAAGCTGCATTTCTTCCAGGGTCGGCAATAGATTTGTCAAACGCTCGCCTCGCACAAACGTAGCGAACGGCCTCAAAGCATCAATTGTCAGAAAAAAAGCATGTAAACAATGGCAACTGCCACATACAAACTACTTAACAAGATCAACAGCAACCAAAGAACTGACGAAAGTAAAGCAGTGTCAGCGCCCTTGAGGTTGAAGATAAGGTTGCATACAAGCGCTTATTAAGACATTTAAGGTACGAACCTTTCAAAGTTCGGCATATTACTGGGAGCTAAATTTAGATGTCAATGTCTAGCCAAATGAGTTCATTGTTATGAATGGTGATACGCTTGAACGATTAATGCAACGTCCATTGTCACGTGGGCAACGACAGGTGGATGCTTCTGATGGAGTGGCTTCTGATATTGCGCCTTAAGGCGCCTCAGTGAAGCCAGCCAGCCAGCCAGTCAAAGGGATCAAACGTCATGGTGAAGTCAGCTGAAAAAGAAAGATGTAATGTAATCGATACAGGACACTTTTGAGATACACGCTGCAACTGTCCTTCTCCGAACAGGCTAATACATCACATCAGTTTGTTCGTGTCCTATTTCTTCGCCGTCACAGTAGACTCGGCGGGGGAACAAATCATTTTCCCCTACCTCTTTATCAATATATTTCTCTCGCGTTGTCTCAAGGATTCAATCAAGTTAAATTTAAGCTACATGGATTTAGCCCATAGGAATAGTAATAACAGGATTACAAAGCTGATGTGGCGCCGTAAACGCTTTCCATTTATCTCGAAATTTTTCGTAAGATTAGGTATCGATATGTTTACATGATTTACCGCATCGTTATTGACGTCATCTTTCTCAGCGTTAATTCGGTATATTTATTATATTATTATTAATAAATTCCAGCAAACTACACCCGTGGAGAAAGGCAGTCTTTAGCAGAAGAGGATTGTTCGTTTGATACTCACTTTTACATCGGTGGAGTGGATGCCAAGAACCGGCAACGAGCACAGGCACAAGGCGTCAAACCATACCAATACTCACTATCAGGCTAGTTACGCTTTTTAATAGCTGCTTTAGCCCCCCTTAAATATAAAAATAATCGTACACGCGCATTTAAAACGGTATGTTGACCTGGCCTTATGTTTATCTAGTACGAGATCAGCCTTTTTTAGCCTGGTAAAAAGGTTCAGAACAACATGTTCCTGCTCAGTGCGTGACAGATACTCTGACTCTTCGTTGGGTGCGTAGGTTGTGTTCATTACATGAGATTGAACGGCAAGATAAGAGGACTAGAGAATGCACTGGTGACAAAGTCCGTCTCCAAAGGCTGTGTTTGGAAATACCCGTGCCTCAAAGAGCCCTGCGTTGATGGCGCTGATTGTCTTCAGGTAAGACAGATATTTCGCACTTGTTTGACATTGAAAGCGTCTGCTTTTGCCATCAAATCATTCGAGTGGAGCAAAGTTTCATTGTAGTTGCTGCCAATGCTGTACGGATCTGTTTTATACGCGAAAATGATTTTCGCGGATAAGATAGTTGTTTAAAACTTACTAGTAGGTCAAATTAGGTCATTTAACGGAACTCAGGTACTTATCCGAACCGTACGACCTGATGTCGTCTATGAGTCTTTTCGCGATGTTCTAGGAAGATGAATTTCTAAATTATTTGACTATGACGGTTCCCGGCTGCATCAGAACGTGTAGGACGTTGAATACGCTAGGGCCAATTTTTTCGCTTCTAAAATTGGGCAAGTCCACCCACTCGGTCGTTTGGACGCGATAAACCTACAGTGCGCCATATATGACCAGTAGTAGTCAACAAAATTTAACGTGTAACTGAGTTCCTGACATATACATGCATTACGTACACTTCCGAGCTCATAAAACGTATCCAAACGCGCAAAACGTTCTCATTGTGAAATAACAATGTAGGACACAGATATATCAAGCAATAGACGACAAGCGAATGTTCATGTTGCCATGTATCCTAAAAGTGTAGCAGTTCTGTGTGTTATGTAGATTGACTGCTCTATGACAATGTACATGAGTAATAAGTAATTTATTGTTAGGCATAGGGAAGTTGACTATATTATCTACTTGCCACAATCGAAGCTCTCCTGAAAAAACAACCACGAATTTCAAAAAGCTGTTCTCCCTTACTCCTTAAAAAAGTGCGCTAGTACTGTAAACAACAGTAAGAGGAACAACCGAACGCATGGCGTGTCGCAGCAATTGGCCATAGCAAAAATCAAACTATGATGATCTTTTCCATATAATGCTGGGGCCATCTACGTGTTTATAACTAATGCCATCCTGCCGTTGTTGTTTATCGCTCACAATAGTTAGTCCAATGGAACCAGGAGTGAGATCTTCGAAAATATAACTCTCATTATTTAGATCTCCCGGCCGATAGTTGAAGGTTTCCATGTGATCTTTTTAGGTTGGAATAGACAGCTTTCAATGCGTTTGCGACACTGCGAAAATTTGTACGAAGAAGAGTTTCACGGCTAACTATAAGGAGACATATGCAACTAGCGCAGACGATGATTCTCCAAGCGAAAATGTAAGTTTGTCCCGATTGCACGTAGTTACTACTAAATAATAATGCTTTTTGCTACTCTCAACAACATGAGCCAAAATCGTACTGTCGTCATGAGGACAACTCAAACACTACGGGCTTTCGTTATTTCGTTGCCTCATCTGTGAAAAAACGAACCATTAGTTTATTGAGCCTAACCGAAACACGCACAATTATGCGGCAATAAAGAGTAGATTGCCTTTATAAAGATGTTTCAAAGGAAACATATGGTCAACTCTTTTTTCCTATAAACTTTAGAACTCTTCACACTATTTGAAATGGACAACAATAATTGTATTTACCTTCCGTTTAACCACTTTTTGATATCAAGCAGATTCTACCGCGGTTTCATCAGGCACATGCCCTTCTGGCATTTCAAGCAAAGTCCTATTTTGATCCACGTTAGGCGAAATACGTGCTTGCATTGTGGTTTCAACAAAAACTCCTTCACACGTACACGCATATTGCACTATGATATTGTTCTATTTATTTTAAAGCTTTCTTCAGGTATTTACATACAGCACGTCTAAGCACAGTTAAGCCTAGCTCGTTGGTCGTTTATTACATAGCTACGACAGGATATGGGTTTTCGAGTTTTTATCAATCAGCTTGTCTATCCGGTCCAATTTTAACGACTGACCTGCCAGCAGCAGTAGTAATTACACGTGCATGCACAGGATGTGGGTCTCGGAGCAGAGGCTATTTGGTCAGAGCTTCAAATGGGATGTGCCCTCGTAACTAAACGATGGACTATCGCCGTTTGTGTGATCTATAGAGATGACGTTGGTCTTTGCTGAAATAGAACACACTGATTTGTGTTGCACTTGCAGATGCGTATGATATGTGTAATGAGCATTGCCTTTCAAGAGAGTAAAACGAAGTATCATTCTGTGATAACAATAAGTGTACATATATAGAACTCGTACAGGTACTTTTGTATAATCAATATAAGAATCGTTTTTGTAATACGATTTAAACCAAATGCTAATGAGCTGATTGTTGCCTGCTCTGTATTGTCACTTTACCGAATTCAATGAGACGCAGCTTCCCAGATAACACAGGTTTCGTTAAGTGTACAACTTACAATATCTGTCTCAGTGAAGCCCAAAGCCCCAGCCAGAGCAGACAGGGTAAAATAATTACGTTAGCATATTCGATTTTTCAGGTTTTAGCCATAACCCCGGTTGTGGTACATGACGGTGGCATTGAGCACCTTAGTCCTGAGCACATTCATCTTTTGGTAGATCTTCAGAAGTTAGGTCTCCGTCCGGGTGATATACATTTCTCGGTGCTCGTGGGCCCCCACCACGGCTCGCTAGCCAAAGAGCGCCTGAAGACGTCTGATGTGATTACTACATTTACATACAGGTGAAAAGCATAAAATTTGCTGATCATTTATGCATTCGCAAAAAAATGGTTGGTTGTAACTCTTCGAGGTTGTCAGGAATAGTCGGTCGTAGAAGTAATACACAGATACAGGTAAAAACTAGCAAACGTATCTAAATTAATCAAATTATCGAGTGCAAGCAGACGCTTGAATATAGAGAAAAACATGCAACAAACATTTAGTTGCAGAACACTTAACAACGTTTATCTCATAAGGTGTGTATTCATATAAATCGTACCACAGTGTGTATTGATGTTTTTTGAGATTATGCATATTTTATACATAATATAGTTATTGGTACTGCAGTTCGCAACAGATGCATCGAAATGTTCTTGTCTTCCGTGGCCTTACCAACGAACGGCCTATAGTTAGGCCATTCCTTTCGACTGCACAGTGCTCGAGTTTTATGCCAATATGACGAAGCTGTACCGGCAGTACACAAGGCTACTACTAGGCGCAGTGTCACTGTATTTAGCTCTACTGACAGTATGGTTGCTATAAGTAAGAGGCTAAGCATGATCAACATAAAAGAAGATCGAAAAGACAAAAAAGAAAAAGAGCACCACTCGAGAGAAATTGTTTCCGTAGCGTCTTTTTTTTTAGTAATTCTAATCACTCGAAAGGACGCTCGCATCATTAGTTTGTCCTGCTCTCGATTTTGCCGACTACACGGCCTATAGTACCATTGCGCAATGCAGCCGAAGCGATGTCTAGTTTTTGCGCGTAGTTTCGGCCTAGCTTGTACGCATATGCAGTGTTCTCTCAGCGTCTTTCGTTTCGGATGGCTTTTGCGCTCCATTTGTCTGCCCACTAGGGAGCTAATCGAATTTCAAGAATGGATGGAAACACGAGAGCTCAAGAAGACAAAACCGTTCCGGCTCAGCCCAGATCGCACTCAACTTGACCATACAGATTATTGTATACCCTGTACCACTGTGTAGTAAATGCTCCCTACTGCCGACATTATCAGGCCCGTGCTGATCGTAGCAGTCAGGACAGCTACAGTAGCACGCTAAAAAAAAAAATGCATTCAAGTTGCGAACTGAGTTGGCCATAGCAAAAGGCTTCTCGAAGAAGGGACATACTAGCTGCGTTTCCAGCTTCGAAGTCAATGGCCTGGAACACATGAGTGGCGGTGGACGCCAAGCCAGTAGCGGTAAAAGGAGAACCTGCTGCCGACGGCTTCTTCTCCGCCATTGATGCTTAGCGATATTGGGAACTTTGGATGTGTCCTGTTAGAAATAAGCTACTTAACACATCGAACAAGGAGACAAGCGAATCTGAACGCACGCATTCGGGCATTGGGCCACCTGAGAACTAAGGCTCCATCGGTTCAAGATGATTGCTTCATCCATAACTTTTTTTTGAGAAAGTACCTGCACGCGAAAGACAACTGTCAGAAACCAAATAACGTTGGGACAAACGTTTCGACCCGCTTGTATCTATTCTCTTTTCCGGGCACCGTTTGACCAAAAAGGTAGTTAGCACATTGACGTTACGTATAATATAGAATAGAGGTGAGCGTTACTGAAACAGTAGTTTTTACTTTCAGTTGTGTAATATCATATCCGCCCATGTCGGATCGTTGTGTCCCAAACGTGTGTGGCTATTTATTCTCGGGAGTACTGGAATAGCACCGAAAGAGGGAGAGCGAAACTGACTGCTGGCTTTTGTTTACGGTACAATACTGATAGTGGTTCTTTAATATGCGGTGATATTGCTACAATTGCAGAGATATTAGTCGGTATCGCGTCGTGTACACGCATGACGGCAGCGAGGCAGCGAATGATAGCATCGTTCTTGAGATGAGCGTCGCGCCATCGACGCTCCTACTGCAACGCCTGCCGAAAGCACTTTCCGAGAAGATTCAATTTATGCTGCACATCGCCATCCTAGCGCAACAGAATTCGCCAACGCACGACTACGATACACAAGTCGTGTTCACATTGGCACGACACACAAAAAAGCAGCTGACCAACGATCTGCTAAAGATCGACGATGTTCAGTTTGTCGATGAAGGCGCTGCTCGCTTCATGGTCCACATTGAAGAGGCAGAGAATACTGGGTTCGTTGACAACTTCAAGAACCCCGGCGTCGCTCTAGACAATTTCACTTTTCACGATCTCAAACAAAGCCTAATCTGGTACAATCATCGAGGCAACGCTTCGTCGACATCGTTTGGCCTCTCCTACAACTCGCCGTCAATGACGAAAGAGATCCTCGTCGATGTGCGGACATTTCCGCTCGACATCACTTCAGTTAACAATACCGGTGTCAAAGTATCACATGCGACGCCTACAATCATGACGAACCAGATGTTGGCGTTCGTGACAAACGCGCCCGAACAGGGTCTTGACATCCGCTTCGACATTGCAACAGCACCGAAGTACGGCACGATTCAGCGACTTAAAAGCAACTCTGTTTGGACCAACACGACGCACTTTTCGCAGCGGCAGTTGACCCGTCACAAGGTACGGTTCGTGCCGACGCCCCAGGCCGCCATCGACAAGCCTGTGGAGGACGCACTGGTGTTCACCGTGTCCTGCGAAAAGGCCAAGCTGTCGACCCTGCACCAGTTCACGTTAAGTTTTACCTCCGATCGCGTTTTCGCGGCGACAAACAACACACGGGTTGTTTACGACACGCGGCAGATTGTTCTCACTGAGCGCGATCTTCGCTATCTGGACGGATATGCCGACTCACGCATCGCATATACGTTGACAGCCACACCAAAATTGGGTCGGCTGTTACTCAACGGGGTCGTGCTCTCGGTCGGCTCGAATTTTACCCAGCGGCATCTCGCCCAGAAGAACCTCGTCTATCGACCGTCGAAATCGGTCATCTTCTTCGAGGACTCGTTCAAGTTCAACGTGTTCTCAAGCAACCCGGCGACGGCGGGTCTCACTGGACAGACGTTTACCCTTCGGTCGGCGAATAGTGATTTGCTGATTGTAGCTAACATGCGCGTACCCGAAGGAGAACGGCTGGCGTTCAAACTGGCGAAGGAATCGCCAAAGAAGAAGCTTGTTATTAAGGTAAATGTAGAGGTATAACATTATGAACCCATTATGTAGCTCACGTAAAAAATTATCTATTTATATATGTGTTAAATTAGGGTCGGCTATTTGAGTAAAGACACAGCGCAGTAAAAAGTAAATAGTGCATATTTATCGGATCCAAAACCTCTTCGTAATTTACCTAATCCGTAGTGGTTAGCATATCTGTATCTCTCTTTGACAATGTACATTTCGCGAATCTGCATAAATCAACAGTCATTTGTGTCCGGTAGTACTTAGAACTATTGAGAGTGTAATTATGCTCACTATGTGATTTTGTAAAAATATATGTAAAATAATCTGCATCTAGCATTTTGCAAAACCTGCTTTGAAAAAAGGTAGGCGGAATGAACCATTGGTGCCCATTGAAGACAGCTAGTTAGTTAGACATGAGTTACTTAGAGTTTAATACTCACAAGTTACATATTAGTAATTATAGTGTAGTCTCAGTAGTTTAGTAGGGTTAATTAAATGTGTAGAATATTGAACTTCATGCCGTAAACGCCTGCAAGAGAGTTTACGACGGAATTAGAAAAAATAAAGACGTTTGATCCTCACGAACGTAAAAGCTTTTCATCTAGGAAACACAATGTCATAATAATACGGTTTGAAAAAATGCCTTCGGAGAACTAAATCAAAACACCCTTAAAAAGGAAGAAAATGCGTTTGCGATTTAGCTACCGAGAGTTTCAAGCGTAAAAAAATTTGTTCGTTTTTTCTTTCGAGCCAGATCCTCAAAACTCCAATTCATAATAATTGAGTTGATACAAAGATCTAACTAAATATCATTCATTAGTTTTTGTAGTGCACTGTAGGTATATTAATACCTTACATATATTTCTATAATATACTCCTTTAGACGTAAATGTGCCCATTTACACGTTACAGCGTTAAAATGCGAAACACTACCTCTGGGTTTGCGTTACTCATAGAAACACATGTGGGACTATTCAACGAAGTTATGGAAAAACATTGAATAGACATTGCATGAGGCTTCCCTAATGGGCTATGCGAGTTTGCTCTGTCTATATTGCTGGCCAACTAATTCCTTCTAGTTTTCCTTCCATTTGGTGAGAACATCCTCACGCGGACAAGGATTACTGGCAATATTCGCTTTTTCTGTCAGCAGCTATCATTCCGTTAAGCTGCTAGCTACGGTAGTCAGCTTTGAATCGTTCGCCTCTCACTGAGTTGATTTGCACCAATAGCGCCGTAAGCGGCCGATGGAAAGAGGAAAACCTCTTTGCCTATGGCCTAAAGAAGGCTAGCCATCGTAGAGCAACCGTCTACTTTTACTTCTACTTTCTCAACGGGGATGCTTGCTCATTGCTTTAGCAGAAATCGTCCACGAACAGAGGAGGCCATATAATATGAGACCACGATCCAACGTAGTCCTCACAGATGATGTCACTGAATAACGTCGGGCAGTAATAGTCATGTGCGCGCTGCAGCAATAACAAGAGAAAGGCCACCGTAATTGAGCTTAATGGCTACATTTTGTACCATACGCGACCACGAAAAAACTCTTCCGCTATTTTGCATATGCAAGCGCCTATAGTATTCCTCTGTCCAGTCTTTTCGGCACTTCCTGCATTTCTTAAGTCTCTCCCATGCTGCAGTCGTTGGTTCGTCGCGTCCGTCAGCTGGCTGGCTGGCTGCTGGTCTTGGCGCAGTAACCCCACAGTCGTCGATGTGTGGATGTGCAAATCAGGCGCCCAGCAGTAAAAGCAGGAAGCAAGTAACGGAGCAGCGGTACGTCCAGGCCGTCGACAGCATTGAGCCAGCCCCACAATAAATAGCGGATAACCATGGAGAATAATTTCTTCAGGGGGTATCGTATTATGCCATAGATGATCGTAACAATATAGCCAAAAGGAGAAGTGAGATTTGGTACTTTGTCATTTTCCAGCTAGACCAATTCGTCTTGATGCATATATGGCCGCTGCGGTCTTCGGAGCATGCTGAACCGCCCGAATAGCACCCGAAGCTCGAAGATCGCTCGTTTTTGTCTCTGGCACAATAAAGAGGATGCATCATAGACTATCGCTGTTCAGTTTCTATAGGCACTCTTGCTTTTAGGCATCTCTAGACTTGGATGCGCTCCTTCGAGTGTGCTCCCAAATCGCTCCTTCGTGCTCCTTATCGGTCCCGAACACTGCGACGCCAGAGCGGCCGCTGAGCGAAGGATAAGAAAGACGCCTTCTAGCACAACGAGCGTGGCAGTTGTTTGAGTGAACAACTTTGCTGGACTACCCCCAAAATGAGCGGAGCTTTACTGCATATGTGGCCTCCAATCTACAATGCGTTGACGCTATCTCTTTTCGTGCACTGTTGTGACTTGGGCCTAAACATGGGCGTAGGACTTGGTACCTGGGTAAAGTTTGTCAGTGCCGCTTCTACCTTTTTCCTCGACATCTACTTGGACTTTTCGAGAAGCCATGATTCCTCGGCCATCCGTTGCACGTATAAGGACGTTTCGTGTCTCGTATCGCTTAATTATTGGTGTGCTCTGTCTGTTCCAGGCTCTCGACAATAAACCCACCACACTGCAACGACACTTCGAGTCATCGCAAATTTATGTTGCGACCAACCAACCCAGTGGTTGCTGTTTACCTACCGTTTGGGTTTGCCGTCGGATCAATGATGAACCTGAGCTTCTACACGCTGGTATTGCTGAAACATTGACAGACTGTGGCATAGCCCAGAACCAAACCGTCCTTCGATTTTTGTTTATATTGTGCAAACTTTGTTTTCCTCGACGAAAACTGACGACGCGTACGACCATTGTGAGCTGCTCTAGGCCCCCGGTTGTGTTCAAACGCACTTGCAGACAGAGCCAGAAAAACTGAGATAGAGATACGTCTGTACGGACATGTTAAATATACGCATGCAGAGGCAGACGAACATATAGACAGACATGCGTACAATAAATAATGTTGATTTCTCAAAGAATGAGACTATAACTATAGTAGGGCTTTAGCTTAGTCGCTGTACTTTAATTCCCTGTTCTGTGTATCTCGTTCCTTTGACGAATGTGGGACTAAGAACGGAAGAACAAGCAGGACGACGTACAAGACCCGCACAGACCCTGGACTGTGTCTATCAGACTCTTTTCTTAAACGTTTTCTCCTTTACGGCCCGATCCGTCGTCAGACAAAATAGGAGCTTGAAGTTGGTACTTGAAGGTAACACTGATGGCACTTCTTGATGCCAAGTAAGTGTGTTTATCGCGACCCAGCCATTCAGAATAGCCGTCGCTGGTATTCCTTTCTCTTAGCCTGCCTCCAACCACCGCGCCGTTCACGCCGAAAGCTTTAGCCTCCCCAAGTAGCCCCCATACACAGTCTGGGCTGTCATCCTGTTATTCATCCATTGCAGTGCCCTATTTGACTAGCTGTAACGGTTATGTTTAACTGCTGCCGCATTTACAATGTACCGGCGTAATGCCCTCGGCTACACCGTTTCTTTCAGCCGCTTTCTGTACACCATTATACCGTAAAACAACAAGCGGGTCTGTGAGAAAGATGGCGCCACAAAGCCTGTCCAACCAGCCCTCGGCCCTCTTCGTTGTTCCGCGTGTTGTCACTCCTTTGTCGGACTCCTCGTGCATACGTGTCCATTTGTAGTAGCTGTAGTGCTTGCATGCTATTTGCATAGCGCTTTCCAGAGCTCCTCGTTTCCCGCGCGTATAGCCATCGTGACAAGCAGACGGGGCGTCTTGCCCTGCGCTTTTCTAGATGACTCCTCGTTGCGAGAAAGTGAACCGACCAGTTGACCATCCATACATACATGGAAGGGTTAGGAAAGTATGGGGTGTAGCGAAATAAACGATGAAACGCGCACCAGCTTATGTGAGATCTGTATCTCTGTAGCCGCTTACGAACAGGCAACACAGCCAGTGAACCAGTCGGAAAGTAAGCAGGCACCCGCGGCGCCCTTCCACAATTTCTTCCCATTCGTCTATGCCATCAATCCGATCACCGTCAGCCTTTTCGCTCTTCCACGTTTTTAGATTTAAGTTGTTCTAATAAGAAGAGCTGTTTACTCTACCGCAGTGACTGCTACTACGACCATATCTATACCAATACTTTTTTGTAAAGCCTCTCTGCTCGACAATCTCTCTGGATTGTTTTGTATCGCCCTCTTGATGCCATCTACGTCAGTCTACAACGCTACCCTGACAATCATTTCTAATATGGTAGCCTCGAGTGCTGCTCGATCCCTGGTCTTCTAGTACCTCTTCTATACGCATATGTTCTAGCCTTTGCGCGCTTTCTCGATAATCGGACGCACCCAGAATACTAAAAACGGAAGACAGGCAGAAATAAATAAGAAAAATTTGAACGGCATGTCTAGTAGCAGGGGCTGCGGTGCAAGTAGCCCGTGGTAGTGTGCCGTACCAGTAAACTCATAAGGAGAAAAAACGAACGAAGAAGGGTAAAAGACTCTGATATCAGGCAGTCAACAGGACCCACGAGAAAGAAGTGGGGACTAAGGGAGGTGAAGTTTGCGAAGAAAGTTTGAGAAAAAATCGCCAGCCAGGAAGAGGCAAAGGAAACAAGCAAGCTGCGAGCTAGCCCATGCGGGACTCACAGGGGCGGAAAGGAATCGTAGAACTGGGCGTCTCCAAAAGTCGTTTGTAGAGGTTCGGGCTTCTTAAAACAGAAGCGAAGGGCAAGACAGAAGCAAAGCAGAGGAGTAAACGGGTGATAGCAAAGAGGACGAGGGATCTGTGTACTATACGTCCCAAACGGGGTTGGTATGTCTAGAAGCCTTTCCTTTGACGAAAATCTTATGCCCACTGTAACTGTTGCGGGCACAAGCCGGCAGGAGACAAACCCATTTCGGACAGCGTCTTGAGGCATTGAAGCGTAACTGAGACGAAAAAGAACGACGCCAGCTTTGGTATCCTTTCTTGTTGGCCAAGCCACTAGCGAAGCTACCCGCTCTCAGCCCACGTCCAGTTTTTTGTTCTGTTCTTCACTCTCTTCGTTGCCGTCAAGGTTACTTCAGTCTACTGTCCCTGCGACCATCGCTGCCATTGCCGTTTCCACAGCTTTTACTACTACTACTACTGCTTCTTTCTCTGAAAGTGAACAAAGACACATAATAGAGCAAAGGTGCAACACGACTCAAGCATATAGCTAAAACGCAACAGACCAGTGGGCACTGCAGTACGGTAAGCGCAACTGGGCAATAGCGTCGCCTCTATATGACATACAAGCGAGTGAGGCGAGGCTACAAGCTAGCCGGCTAACAAACGGACGGCGAAAATGCGGCTGCAAAGGTAACTGGTAGTAGGAGTGACAGTAGAAAACAGTAGCAGTAATGGGAGTAGCTCCGCTGCTGGCTCCACGCGAACTTTCATCTCTCCTATGTTCAATTCCGCCTACTCTATATTTCATAGCGTAATTCCACGTTCGTCAAGCACGGTCCGGCCTTACTACCAAAGCAGCGCAGGCGGGGTAAAAGCTGAAGGGAACGGGAGAGGGTATTGCAGACGAGTCGTGGCAAATCCATCCTGCCAACGTTGCCAGTACCGCGTTCTGACTAGAAAGGCTAAAGCTGTAAACGTCATCTATCGTTAGCAAACTGCTGTCAGCACTAGAAATAAAGCCACTCCGCCAATACTAGTAGCAGTTATATATATATATAGTGAGGGAGAAAGAGATGCTCTACTCATTTGACACAGCATCGTTTTAACATGGTCGTCGAAGCAGAATAGACGGGCTGCCTGTCTTCTCGGTCCGTCCTTGCTACGACCCTAGATGGCCTGTGCAATGCTTAATGATAGTAAGCCGCTATCTAAATGATGCCAACGAATTATGGAAGCCCGATATCATTTCAGAATTTCGCGCCACTTGCGGCAGCGTGTTGTACATCAAACCGTAATGTTATTCGGCATGTCATAGGTGTCTAGAGTGAGTAACGCTATGCTAGTTGGTACTTGTAGCTGCTATGTCAACCATGAGGACGCCCGAACTATCCCTAATGCACGGTCTCTGTTGCAGATCACTGGAGAACCTTCGCACGGCGCCATTGAACGTAGCGAAGAAAAGGGCCAATTCCGGGTAGTAACGGAGTTTTCTGCGGAAGCCGTGGCAGCCGGTGAGGTATTCTACAAACACGATGACAGCGAATCCGCGCGGGATAAGGTCGTGTACGATGTCGTTAAGGAAAACTCGACAGAAGTTCTGCAAACCGGAGAGGTACACAAATCACAATGTTATTCCTAACTAATTTGTTGTAATTCTGGTGTACATAAGTCACTCTTTTATGTCTCAATATTAACATATTGTAGTACTAGCTCTATACGCTAATTCTCCTCATTTCAATAGCTGACGAATAAAACGACGACTGGTCATTAAATTACGGCCTCTGATGGCGTTTTGTCAGTTATCGCTGTAAAATTACGAGGGTACTTAAGTGTTTCAGTACTTTTAAATGCAAGCGCTTTAGCCGAGCCCAGTAAATTCATATCTTTCTAAATATATGCTTCCCATTAGCGTGGCCAAGTGGAATACTCTAGGTTAAGTTAATGCGGGAGACGGATTTGGGGGAAGGACGCGTTAGCCACTATTCCCGTTTCCCCTAAGGACACCATTTTCGCTCGTGAATAATCTACTTCCTAATTCTCAGATGGCCTGGTTACTTGACTCTTGATCCGACAGGAGAACATCGTAGATGTGAAACTGGAGAATGTACTTAGATTCATAGTGGTTATAGTGAGCTAGTCCAATATATAAAACCTTTGGGGAGTACTAGTGACACTCGACTGAATACTGGAAAAGAAATATGGATGCAATACCGAATTATTTGCTTTCTCATTCGACCGCCTACTTAAGCAATACCGGAAACTGTGTGCTCGTAGCAATAGGAGTGGACTGGTAGATACCTGTTTTCACACGCAAGTTTCGAAATTCTGTTCCAGTTCGAATGGCCTGTAAAGCTATATGGCTTTACGGGGTTCTTGCAATATAAATTTATTGTTCACGAAACTTCGATTTTGTTCTCCATTCGATTTTAGGTAAACATCGATATTTCTCTGAAGAACGACAACCCGCCTCGAAGAACTCAGGAGCAAGTGTTTCATATTGCGTATCAGGCCGAAAAAATCCTTTCAAATATGCACCTGCGCTATGAGGACGCTGACACGGATACGGATCCTTCAAAGATCACCATCAGCAGAAAAGAGATTCCCAACGCAATGTTAGTCAGGTAAGAGAACAAACAGAGAATATACATTAAGCGCTTGCCGACGCAGATTGACAGGCGAGCAAAATAGTTTATTAACTCATTTCCTTATATACACATATCGGTCCAGCAAGCCAGTTAATTAAAGTTCAGGTCAAGTGGTGATTCGCTGTAACGGAACCAGTTCAAAGTTGAAACTTTCCTTTTATTGGCCACTATTAAAAAAGGCATAGAGCTGAATGACATAGGTGCATCGGTAATGATTGGTAAGATAAAGTTTAGATATCTATACATTCATTGTTTTTAGTCTACATGATAGCTTATTGATTGGGCGACGCCCGTCAAGCAGGAACTGTGTGATTTATTTCATTGGCTGCCACGAACATCGTTAACTGTACTTACTATTTATACGCTGAAAATAGCCTTAAGATTTCGAAAATAGCTGAGCATCAATACATTAAACCAGTACTCTGGTGGGTTAAGTTACAAATAAGCTAATGTCAAAAAATGAAAAGTATTTTTTTCTTCCCATCCCCTCCATAAAATTCTCAGGAACGACGACAGCCGAAAAGAAGTTCAGCAATTCACGCAGAAGGACATCGATGATGAAATGATTCTCGTCAGACATACCGGTGGAGATTACGGTAGAGCAATATTTTGGATCTCTGACGGACAGTTTTATGCTACGGGTATGTAGATTCCCTAAAAAGAGCGTAATTACTGAATTCATTTCACACAGTATTAGGATTTTATGTGCGTGATAGAACGTGCTGGTATAACTGACATAACGTAACATTAAAAAAGATGTACGTTATTATGTATATATTAGGCATTCTGGAGATTGTGGCTTCACCGCCATACCTCAACATTACGACAAACACGGGACTTCTACTGGAACAAGGGTCGTCTGCCCCGCTGTTGCCAAGTAATCTATCGATTGACACGAATCTTAACGTCAAACCTTCTGAGGTGGTGCTTAAGGTTATGAGAGCACCGACGCTTGGGAAGTTACGCTTTGCCCAAAGCAGCGAGCAAGTCATCAACAAATTCACGATGCGAGACGTTCAGGAGGGTAAGTAGTCTTCATGAACTTTCACAGCTAAAAAATGCTTCCACGGAGATCGAAACAGGTTGCGACTTCAAGCCTTTATTTCACAATACCCACAACATTCGTCTCACCTCCATTCATGTTAACCCACTTCAATATATATAACAAATTACAAACGCAAGTCAAAGTTCACCATTTAAAGGAACTGTTTCGCTTGGGTGTAAATAAGCTAAATTATTGTCGTTTAGCGCGACCATAGTGTCGTATGGCTAATACTGAGATAGAGAGTTTTTCCTGGTGTAAAGTTGTCTTTCATTTCAAATTCAACAACGGGACGGGTCAACAGTTCTCCAACATGTTGAATATCCGTATTTGCTAACTACGTCTGCTGTGTGCAGTGTCAAGGGTTTTATAATTTTGAAAGTTTATAAGACACAAAAAGTGTATTTGCAGAAGTCACACGTAGACAACAGCTGCGTTTGGGAGGATTACAGTACTATTCTACTAGTTGAAAAGGAATTTGGGACACATGAAGGTCTGCACTGCTAGTTTTATAGAGTTAAACATGTAGCGACCGCTGTTGATCCTTTACGGTCTTCTATACGACCACTTCCGACTGTTCTGAGTGATGACTATTTTGGGTGAAGCTGACTAGTCAACTTTATTTGCGTACTTCCTAGTACTTACCTTGCTTCTCTCTCCGTCTAGCAAATAGTTAAATGCCAGGTTAATACTAGTTTACCAAAGACTGAAAGACTCGGTTTGTTTCTAAGCCGAGGGCATCCTAGCTTTGTTTTCATCTGCAATAACACTGACGATTAAGTCGCCATGAAGGTTACAGCCGTTGCTGCCGTCGTTACCTAACTCATTGAAATGATCGAGTTATTTCTACAATGCGCATTTACTATCGCCATATTGGTTAAGACAGATGGACCTTTGGACAACTGGATGAAACCAAGCGGAACGGCAATGGACCTACACAATAACGACAAGATGCTAATGCTACGTCGTCATGTCTCATGCTACAATCACGCTGACTGGGCCAGATCAGCGAATATGGGTAGCAGTTGATACAGTTTTCTAGCTATGCTAAATTCATACCTGTTTCTATGCCTCGTTCAGTTACTGATAGATTAGCAACGTGATGATTTTGTGACGGAAAGATACCACTGCCGACGGACTGTTTAAACATAACGCGATACGCATACCCAGCCATGTCATGCGTGTTTAGGGATTCGTTCGGTATTTGAGAAGCGTTGCGCCATGGAAACTATGCACCGCCTTAAGCACCAACGCCGCTATAGCGACATTTCGTTTGCCGATACGCTGTTCTTGAAGCAAGCACCGGTTGGCTGATGCGTACTATACTTTTGGACTAGGCCGGACCCAAGTCGCTCTATTCGGGCGAGGGCCGCTTAGCGTAAGAAGAGATAAAGTAGGAAAAAGAGAGAGACATATAAGAAATCAAGCTAGCATCTGTTTTCACCAGGTCGACACCATTCAGGCCTCTGCCGCTGTCAGAAGATATTGTCGTCGGAGCAGCTGGCATTTGTCGTCCCGGAATGTAAGACAGCAATATAGAAGACGGAACATTGTGAACAAAGCGTTGTCAGGATGGTATTTTGGCCGGTCAACTAGCTGGCGTGACAACACCAGAGAAGTAAACATTACTGGAAGGAGGCAGAGGCAAAAGAGAATGCTAGGGGGTAATGGGTCGAGTGTCGATTTGAGGCATCGAGGAAATGGGATTTTTGGGAGATAACGCTAAATTCGCATGCCGCCTATTTGCATGTGCGTGTGTTTGTCTGTGTACAGGTGCCCGCAGGTAAAGCTGTGGCGCAGGATCCCCCTTCTCTGTGTCATGATGCCAGCCGGTACCAAGAGAAAATAACGCACCAAAGGGCAAAGCTTGTGCTACAGCGCTTACTCGTACCATATGTATATGATATGGCATGTCGTTATAGAGCGCGTGACAGGGGTGGCGGAGTAGAGAGGGTTCAGAAACGTTTGCCGATAGGAATGTATACGCATGTTTGCGAAGAAAATGGCTTTTTGTCAATTCCTACTTACGTATATTTTCTGGATCAGCTCGATTGAATCGAACTCTATGCCCCTGGATAAAACTGACACCAATTTCGTCGTCAAACGTAATTAGAGAAACCAATAATATACGTTCCATAAGGCCCTACGGTAGTTGTGCTGAGCGCAGAATATTACCGCATGACCATATATGATAATAGATTATATCGTTATTTATTCTTTATAGGTAAATAACTCAATAGGGCGCAATATAAGCTTCTAACATATCGAGATGTGTCTTGTTAATGACCACATTCACACAGGTATTATTGAGTACGTTCACACGTCTCCATCGAAAGCCGCTTACAATGATCGCTTCGATTTCAACGTGGTGGCCCTAGGAGTGACGAAGGAGGCGTCTTTCAAAATCACGGTCTACCCGAGCACGTTCTGGACGCCAATGCAACTCAAGGCCGGAGGAGGTACGTACCACCAACGAATATACGTGCGGAACGCATTGACATAAATACGTGCCATTCGAATAAATGCTTCTCCTGCCGTCCGACGGTACCCTAGTGGATAACCAAACAGGAACACATCTGTCTCCTCGTCTGCACGTACGATACATAATGTATCTTATACCTTATATATGTATACAGCTCAGAAAAATTCGTATATCTAGAAATTCATATTCATAAAGCTATTGAATAAAGCCAACAGTTTCAACATACTTAAGATGGAGCGACACTCGCATGCTGTGTGTTATTGATTGTGGTCAAGCAAATAGAACAATTGAATTATTTCTAACTAACTTAGTTAGCTAACTATTCAATATCTATGTACAACAGATTCGTTTCTACGTTCGGAGAAAATGAACGAGCCACCGCCACTATCTGAAATGTCTTGAAAGAAACCAGAAATATTATTACTCAGCCCTGTAAATCAACTATCCGCATTTTGGGTGTGGACAAGTATGGCTCACACCCTCCTCTTATACTTTTTGAATTTTCTTAACGTACTAAGCTTTCAACTTCTGTTCTGCTTGGGTGATTGCTTTGAGAGATGCAAATTATGTCAATCCAACCGTCCTCTTATTTGACATGATAGTATAAAACGTTCCGCAGACTAGGACAAGGTTTAAACTATTACTCAGTGCCCGTATTGCCTTATTTCAGCAGATATCTGTCGGCGGTTTTTTTTTTTTTTGTGCATTTACAAAGCCAAGTATGCCTTATATCGGAAATACTTGAAAAATCAGTGGCTTATTCATAAATACAGGAACTTGATTACTAATTAGCCATGTCGTCGATACGTGTGCGCCACTAGTTACTGTTCGAGCCTTGTATGATTGACACCTAATTTTAGTTAAGCCAAATGTTATAACTGTTTAGTGGAAAGAGCTTGATATAATTATAATAGATATGTTTGGTGTTCATGATAAACCTATACAAGCCAGTTTTTTCTACCAGTTGATTTTCTGCAGATTAGATCTCTGCACTAGACAACGCACTTAGGCGATGCTACCGCGTAACGAAAATCAAAACGACCAGTCAAGATAGTAACGCTGTGCAAAATAAAACCAGCTATGTCAGATAGGTTCATGAAGCAACTCGCTCATTCACAACTAAATGCTCCGCGGCAAAATTACGTGTATTCCATATGCTAGCGTTATTATAGCCGTCGTTCACGCACGCTATGAGACGCACGCCGGCACCTTTCTGAAAGTTCGAGCAAAAGTGACCTGAACGTTTTTTCCTCATCGTTCTAAAATCTGTGCTCCTGATAGGGAACGCTACGTTGTACCTGGATGCGGGTTCGATTGCAACTGTGAGCCGTACATACTTGAACGTGATCCACGAGACCCTTGAACCGGAAGATATAATGTTCAGTCTTGCAAGGCCGCCACGCCTTGGACAGCTGCTCATAAACGGAAAACCTATCACTTCATTTACTCAAACCGATGTCAATAAAGGTAGCTACACTCTTGTGTATATGTAAATTTTATATAAATCATGTGAATGATGCAATGAGTGCTTTAGGCGACTGCATATGGAGACTATTTTTTTTAGATAAAGACATGAGTAGTCACTTCGGTGTGAACTTCACGATTCAGACTCTGTGCTATTCCCCTTATAGAACAATATAAATAAATATAATCAGTGAAAAAGGTATAGATGAGCTATGACAAGAAACTATATAATAAGGCATAGCCACCCAGATCGCTGGATAAGCATTTTCGATTTTCTGCACGTTTTCCTCAAATACCACATGTTGAACTAAACGTGTTTATTCTTACTGAAGTCTTAAGCAACACACGTCATCATATTATTGCACTTGGGATTAATTACCAGTTGTGCTCCGCCTGCTTCTTACATCGTACTGCGGTAACATTAAAGCTACTCTGATCCTATTAAGGCGGTCTACTAATAAACTGGACCTAGTCATGTAAATTGGTAGGCAACTTGTCTACAGGCCGTCGTCGGTGGGGTAGCCTGTCCTATGGTTAGCCGCTTGGATAGTAATATCGGGGGTTTACTCGTTGACTAGCTATAAACGGTATCCTACAGTGACCTACAGCTAACCTAATTATCAACGGCTGGAAGCCATCCCGCACCCAAATTTTGTAAGTGCTTGAAGTCAGGACAAATACGTGCTATGTTGGCGGTAATACACTTTTTCACTATACGTGTGGGCCTATATAACAACGTGTGTAGCATGCGTATTGACCATGTAGCTTTCCAGAAGCTCCAGGATCAAATAAATTGGCCAGCAAAATAAACAGCAGTACCGAGGAGGGCTTAGAAGTCGGTTAAGGTATATGCCAAATTTCGTATCGAGATTACACCCCATTCTCATCTTTACACAAGAGAAAAGGTGGTCTAAGCGAAAGTGAAAGAAAAAAACGACAGCAAGGATTGTCTATATAGAGTGCCGACCAAACTGAAGCACAGCGAAGAAGGTCCTACAATCTTGGGCAACAGCTACACAGATATATATATATATATATATACACTAATTGTTTAAGAAATCTCGAGCCTTCTAGATAAGCGTACAGCGCAAATTATTAAAAAGATTTTCATTCTTTCTGGAATAATACACTATTCCCCTCACCAAAAATAGCCTTAAATACTTTCCAACCAGAACCGTCCGCAAGAGGGGGTCCTAATTTTCTTTATTTTTATCAACTTGACGCAAGTAGGGTTGCTAAGGAAGAAAGTACAATACACATTTCATTGTTATATCGTGCAAGTTTCAAGTCGGATGTCGTCATTTCCTGAATGATGTATGGTGCAAATGTCTTCAGGTCGTGTGAAATACGTCCACTCGGGAGCTCCAGGCGTTGACGGCTTCGTAGTTGACGCTTCCAATGGCTTCAGTCGAATGGCAGGTATTGAAGTGCGACTCGGGGCAATACTAAGAGACATTTCTCTGAGAACTCAAAACCTCACTGTAGAAGAAGGAGGGCAGGTATGTTATCATTCCAATTATCAAAAGAAAGGGGGCTTATAATAGTATGTTAAACGTACTGGAAACGATCGTATTGGCAATCGTATTCTATTGAATAACTAATTCTGTAAATAATTAAGGATAAGATATTGTGAATCCGAATAGGCTTCAAAGCACCCACGCGGTGAACTCCAGAGTCAAGCAGAAAAACTATGCACCACCAATGATCAGTTCTATCGTTTCGTTAAGTGAAGCATAATTTATTTCGGGAAAGGTCTAATGAAATTTAATTGAACGCTTTAGGACTTTTTCGTTTATGCAGACACATTAGCATTAAGTTCATAATTACACGTTGACGTAACAAAATTGCATCTTAAAAAAACACCCCATTGGATACATTGCTGTAGCCTACTCTCCATCGTATTTTAGGTGACTATTACTGTTGAGTACCTGTCGCTACCAGCAGATGCAGGAAGCCCAGATGTAATTAGCGAGTATATTGTAATTGAACCCCCGAAGCATGGCACTATTGTGACCAAAGACAAAAGCGTGGTAAATAATTTCACTCCAAAGCAGGTTCAGAAAGGTGAGTCTTCCGCTTAGTATACCTTGTTATATATACATCCCAATCCACTTGTCCTATTATGTACGAGAGTACTACCAATATCTTTTTATTCACGCTATTATCAGTAGTAAATAGGTAGCAGTATTGCTAGATGTGAATATCATATTTTTATAGAAACATCGAAAGTAGTTCCAGTCGTCTGCGTTTACCGCTAAAAACTTCTAAAAGCGATAGACAATATTCATCTATTTGATGATAGCCGAGCACTAGATTTAAGTCGGCCCGCCTGTAACGAAGCTTCAACGAAGGGTATGATAATTCAATGAACGTTTGTTCTTGATCCGCTGTGCTATTCGACCGCTTAATACGGTCGTCTAGACATAGACGGGACACCAGTATGCTCTTCAATTTATGGTAGCTGTTTCCTCGCGCAAGCTCGTTTTGTTGCTTCTTGCGAAAAACGTTACGGACAACAGTGTAATAGGCAATAGTCACTGGGTGGGCCCGATCGGTATGTTTTCGTGATAGGCGTTGCCGGGCGTGTGGTTAGTGTTCGCACGCTGGGATTATTGAATATTTGTTTGTTCGAAAGCTACGCCAATAGAGACTGAGCTATTGTAATAAATGTTTCGCATCAGTAAGGCATAGGACTAATTCTGATTTGGCAAAAAAAGTTGGCCTATTCACAATATTGGTAGCATCAGTAGTAAGCATTGGTAGCATCATAAGATAATCGTTCGGTACGTAGCGATTCAGTGCGGTGTTTAGATTTATGTATGAGTTCGTTAAAATCACTTCAGTCACAAACAGAAGAAAGATGATTGGTTTAAGAAACAGATAATATTAATTCCTGAGTATAGAAAAATAATGGAAAACGTATGTTATATAGTAAAGCTATTAATATATGCGGTTCGTTTCGATTTTTTATCTATGAGAAGAAGAGATTTTCTTTGCCAACAAAATTTCCGAGCTAAACATAAAAACGATGTTACAATACATCGTTCCTATATATAAGCAGATATGACACGATTATAGCTAAGGTGATATCTCCTTAACAATCATTCGCTTATTAAAGGACAACAGATGCCTCCGCACAATGTTTCGCTATCGTAAAACTCTCCTTACAAACATTACGGTATAAACATCAAGGTGAACGCAAACAATATAAAACTTCTGCATTTTCCGCATGCCTACCACATTGTCGTAATCGCGACTCGGCTACAATAAGTCAGATTGCAGTTTCTGCAAGACTCTAATCGTTCTACGTAAACGAACTAAAGTTACTGATCGGCTTCCACTACCCCAAAGATCAGGGATATTTTGTTTTTCCCACACACGTTAATGTTTCGAGCCAAGATCGGATGAAAGCTTCAACTCGCACCATCAAAATGTTTTAGTTTATAAATTAGCAATTCGGATTGAACCTTCCATCACGATAAACTGTACTACCGAGTTTTCTACGATGACGAAACTCAACACAGATAACAGCCACAATATAGTTAAAGTGACACATTGCGTAACTCAGGATAAAAGGGACACTTT